CTCTGACACACACACACACACACACACGGACACGGACACATAGACACACACACGACCAGCGTGTAGGAAGCACTTACAGTAGCTCTGAGAGATTGAGATCACAGAGACTTAACACTGTAGCTGAAGACGGGCTGTATCAGCGTGTGTTCAGGTCTTGCTCAGCGGTGGAGCTGAAGAAACAACATCAAGGAGGCTACTTTAGACCAAACAGTTTGTAATTCACACAGATGCAAACATTCACCAGGATGACTGTAAAAATGACACACAGTGACTCACAATGCTGCAGCAGCTGGTTGCTGATGTCATAAAAAAAACGTTGCCACTGCCGAAGCTCATCGTTCTTTTAAGAAACAAGAAAATCTGTCTTGCATGTGGAACTTAATCCATCGGCTTTGAGTCATATTATGACGTAATAAGGATGACAGAGTTTTCAATGCTACGATATTTTTCAATAATTTTCTATGCTTTACATAGTAAAGTAACATTTGGGTGCAGAAATGTTGCTGACATGAATCAAGTTCAATAAACAGATTTGTTTTCATTTTTATTATTGCCTTGAAACAGTAGATACAGTAAATGATCATGAAGTTTTCAAAATCATATCACTATTGACAAAAGCAAACAAGGTTCTTTCACATGTGAAGAATCATTATATGATATGTTGTCAGGTCCCAGTAATGGCATTAGAGAGGACCTGAAGCAAATAACCAAACAGTCCATGTGCATGATGCATGATTTAAACACTTTGGAAAATACATTTTGCAGAGGTTTTATGACTATAAGCAATAAGAACATATACGGTAGAATGTAAATTCAATCGCACAAAAAATGCACAAACAACTTTTTTTTATCAAATACTCTTTTTATTCATAACATTTAAATGTTATTTTTTTGTATATATAATATTTCATGAAAAGCTATATAGTAGAGTTGTGAAATTTCTAAAATATTACTGTGTTTAGAAATTGTTACAAACTAATCTAAAAAATAAATGAAGTGGTATCCAATCAGAGGACGTGACGTTTGTAGCCGAGGCAGAACATTCAGTAAAGCAACACAGACACATCTCTCTGTGATCAAAAGTTTGCTACTTCTTTCTTAAACTTGCTCTCAGTTTGAATTTTCACTTCATTTCACTCCGTTTCCTTTTCTTATTCACAGTGTGAGAGCGCTCCTCTGTCTGTACGTGAGTGTGTGTGTGTGTGTGTGTGTGTGTGTGTGTGTGTGTGTGTGTGTGTGTGTGTGTGTGTGTGTGTGTGTGTGTGTAAGTAAATGGATGTGGGGGTTGACATGGCTCTCTCTCAGAGGAAGTCTGTGGTTAGGCCGTTTCTACATATTTTCCCCTCTAACACACACAGACACACACACACACTCACAGACGAACACATGAAACACACAAATACACACACATTTTGCATGTCAGGCCAAATGAAGCTTTCTTTAAAAGCACCATACATCCCCGCAGATGTGGAAGCCATCTCTCTCTTTTTAACACACACACGCACACACACACACATACACAAAGAGAGAGAAAGAGAGAGAGAGAGAGAGAGAGAGAGAGAGAGAGAGATTCAATTGAAAATAAACACAAGAACCCACAGTCTCTTGGAGTGCAGTTTCCCCTGAAACCCCGGTGCACTCTGGGTAGTTGTGGTAAGAGAGGTCCCTGTGAGAGGCTGACCAAAAATAGCCTGAGTGAAAACTGCAGGAACGTGGAGCTCGCCCAGTGTCTCACAGAAAATCCAGTCTACTGGGTGTTTGGGTGTGTACTGAGGGGGGAGGGTTCCATTCAGCTAATTTATTCCTAAACGCTTGTTTACTCTGATCAAAATATCACCTTAAAGCTGTATACCCTGAGAAAAAGAGACTGTCTGTCTGCTTTCTCTTCCTCATGGAAATCAGTGTCATGGGAAAGAGGAAGCCAGAGAGACCAAATAGAAGCAGAGTATATTAGATTTGAGTTTATCTACTCAACATTTACTGTGTCATGCTCGTTCAAGTTCTTAATCACACTTTAGACTGATAGGAAAGTTCTAAGTGATAGTAATGTATCTCTAAAAAAATGTAATCATTATAACGTCAAAAGAGACTTGTGTTAGTTGTTTCAGGATGTAGTAAACCTGAAAAAAAAATGTATCTTCATCTACTAACTCATGGAGATTTCAGATTTTGCCTTTTTTTTTAATTTTCACAAGCATTTCAGGAGTGCATCTTTGAAAACAGCGCAAAGTTTGCAGGCTGTAAAACAAAAACAAGCTGCAAGATGCTCAGATGTTCAATCAATCAATCTTTATTTCTATAGCACATTTAAAACAACCTTGATAGACCAAAGTGCTTTTCAAAAACACAATGTAAAAACAACAAATACAATAACATATAGAATGAAACACAATAAAACACAATAAATAGGAGCATGAATAAAAATCTCAATATGTCAAGCTCAGATTGTATTAAAAGCCAGAGCAAAGAGGTGAGTTTTAAGCAAAGATTTGAAGTTTTCGATGGCCTGAGCAGTTCTTAACAGATGTTGGACTGAGGGAAACTGTAGAGTCGCCTCTGAGAGTTTGTCAATATGGTTGACTCCTGTCACATTCAGTAGGGTAATCAATTCATGCTATTAAAATGTTGAATCTACCTGCTTTAAAATGCATCATGTAAAAATGCTTGATCAGTGTGGAATAACTATTAGGTATATATTAGACTCTGAAGGCACAGACCTGAGGGTACAGGTGAAGTTTGTTTGGAGCTCATTTTAGGGATATTTTGTGTGTTTTTGTGAACATGTCTCTCACTTAAAAACTCTGTTATGTTGTGAGGTGTGACTTCATCATACATCAATCCCGAGAACATTTATTATATTTTTATATTTCCAAATGTTGGGGAACAGTTAAGTTCAGCCTTCAGCAGCTTGGATTGACCTACATCAGCTCATGCAGCCTGCTTAAATCTAAACACAGAGATCGTCCTGTGATCCTAAACATGTACACCTTCCCTCGCCTTGTGAAAACACACACAGACACGTACATGTACACTCACACTCACATATTTGACACTACATTGCTGCCCTTCTGGCACTGAGCCATAGACATGTAATATAAGCAGAGTGTATGAATGTGTGTCTGACGCTGCAGACTCTTAGTGAGCTGCACAGTGTGAGGGGTTAATCAAGTAAGAAAACAAGAACTCTTAGCCTCCCCGCCTCCCTTTCCTGCTCCTTCTTTCCCCATCCTGGAGCGAAAAACAAAATAAACTATATTTAAAGTCAAGGACTTCAGATTGTGAAGTGTGGGTTTGTTGTCTGTTAATATGAGGCTCAACTGAAGACACATGTAGAGTGAAGGAACATTTATTTATAAAAAGTAGATATCATAAAAAAGGGGCTGACAGCGCTTAAATGATAATCACTAGAATAAAGGCCACACACTCATATTTTAGCTGCATGTTTGAATACAGCCATTGAACAAGGCACAGACCCTCGGCAATTTCCATAAAAAATAACACACACACAGACACCACACCAATCTGAAAATCCTTTAAGGCATAAAATGTTTACTTTGGAGGACTGCACCTAGTCCAATAGAAATCATTACTTTACCATGACAGCAGTAGCAAACACACACACACACACACACACATACACACACACACACAAAATATCCTTGCACACTCTAATCTTGATGCACTAAACTCAACTGATTGTACACATAAAGGTTGTCAAAAAATGTATGGAAAAGTACAGAAGCTTTAAAAAAGAAAAACAGATCTTCAGTCATAAAGTTCACCCGGAGATGTGAGCGAGAGAGAGAGAGCAGCGTTGGGTCATTCAAATTCACAGGTTGGCAAATACAAACATTTCCTAAATTCTTTTAGCGTTAAAGTGACGTCTACTAGGTCTTACACACTGCTATCTGAAGGTGAGATATTTATACCCCTGTTACACCAAGGTGTAACCATGGAGCAGCCAGGGTGGAACAGCACACAGTGTGTGTGTGTGTGTGTGTGTGTGTGTGTGTGTGTGTGTGTGTGTGTGTGTGTGTGTGTGTGACACCAATGTGCTGTCGCAGATTCAATGTGACCAAGACTTAATGATGGCAGAACTTTTCTGTAAAGGGTTATAAGTCGGTAATATCTCCTTCAAACAAGCGGAAAGACGAGGTGATATTGCACAAATTATCAACCAAAAAGTTACCAGTGTTTCTGTGCAATGTGAGACAGTGAGCAGGAGGTGCCTTGTCATTTTTGGTAATTAAAACAAGACATTTCTTAGTATTTGGTTGTATTTAATTGGTATTTCTGTTTTTGTTGCCATGGTTTCAAAACAGATATCAAAATACTGCTCCTTTTTTTAGTATCGTATCTAAGTTTAAAATTCTGGTAGCGTGACAACCCTAGCACACATGCATGCGAGTGTAAGTGTTTGTCGATGTGAGCGTGTGATTTACTATTCTAGCAGAGAGGTTTTGACGTACTTGGTGGTTTTGTTTTATTTCACAGCATTAAAAAACGGGGCAGAGGACGACGCCTCCGTCTCCCGAACACAGAGCTTGTTATTGTTCTTGAGAAAACAGCTGATCGTTTCTGATTTAAGAAACGCCATTTTAAATGTAACTGTGGGTCAAATGAATCTGCTGCTCCTTCTTGAGGCGTATGGTCTGCTCATTACCAAAGTCATGAGAAAGAGAATTCATCTGATTTGGTTCTGGAGAAGCATAGTTAGATTTTGAAAGAATTGTTTTTTAATCATGATTCTTTTCAGTGTAGCCCCCTGATAAATTGGGTCAACAATTTTGACAGAGAGTACATCACAGGGGCTTAAAACGCTCAACAGAAAATTATGCAAAGTTTCAAATTTGTTGCTATACTGAAAATATGCAACAGAGCTGCAGTGATGTTGTTAAAATGAAAATACAAAACTGCTGCTGACACTTCTCTCTCTCTCTCTCTCTCTCTCTCTCTCTCCCTCTCTCCCTCTCTCTCTCTCTCTCTCTCCCTCTTTGCAGGTCCATTTAAAGGCCCCAATGATCCTGAACGGGGTGTGTGTGATCTGGAGGGGCTGGATCGACCTTCAGAGGCTGGATGGGATGGGATTCCTGGAGTATGATGATGAGAGGGCGCAGGTAATGCAACAAGTACTGACTACACTGCAGGCTGGCTCCAGAGGGAGCTGCACAAGGTCTGATAAATCGCCTTAAGTGATGTCGCCTGAGTCAGTCGCAGTGAAAGCCTAACAAATCTGAAACTGAAAAAAAAAAGCTCTGGGGAGTTAGGTAAGAGAGAAGGGAGCGCTGCAGGCCACTTTATTTAGCCGACTTCATTTCATTTGATATTAGTGGTATAAACCCTACGAGCATGACTGTAGGCAGGTGCAAGACTTTGACAAGGAAGCAGAGTGTGTGGAATGAAAAAGACGATCTGGCTCGCCTGCATGAAAGTTTTGCAAACTATCCATCCAAAGCACTGCAGCACTTAAAATGTATGCAAACTCAAATATCTACTCTGCAATGTTTACAATTTCTGCACATGGATTTCCTCTTCATAAAAGTCTAAAGTCTGTCAATGTGTGTGTGTGTGTGTGTGTGTGTGTGTGTGTGTGTGTGTGTGTGTGTGTGTGTGTGTGTTTGCGTGCAGCAAGAAGACGCGTTGGCTCAGGCCGCGTTTGAAGAGGCTCGACGCAGAACCAGAGACTTTGAAGACAGAGACCGGTCACACAGGGAGGATTTGGAGGTGAGAGGGTCCTGTTTTGGTTTTTTGTTCATTGAAATCTGATTCTGCTCTGCCACCTCTAAGTGGACAAATCAGCTCCGACTTTAGACCTGTCTTTAGCCTTGCTAAGCTAGCCTCATAGTTGTTTTACACTTGACCACAGCCATCATCCTTTGTTAGGTGTTGTCATAGATGCAACAATCTGAACTTTTTCAGCCTCTCTTAACAGATCACCGTGAGCAAAGTGAAAATACACGTTTGTGGGCTGGCTCTACAACGCTATATAGATGTAACCAACTGAAAAGTTGCAGATAGTCATTGCAGATTAACATTGTTTAGAGCTAGAAATGTCTGACTTAATTAAGAGAAAACTCAACAGATGATTTATCATTGACCATGTGTGGCACATTACAAGAATTGTCTCTAAATTCAAAGACAGTCTGGGCTCATATTTTCTGCAGGTTTTTCTTTGCTTACTTGGCATGGCTTAGGGTTGTGTGATGTGTGGTTGTGTGCTTTTATTATTATTGTAAATTCAATGAGTATTTATGCATTTTCAATTGTAGGTTTAGTGCATGATCAGTTTGACGGTAATTCTAATCTGATTTTTGATTTGATATTATGGAAGTATTGAATGACTGATTCAGTTGTGTCAAATGTCTCTAAAAGCCTCAGAAGGGAAAGGTGTGTATTTATTTGTTGCAGAAGATCACGGAAAAGAGAAATGGCATTTGATTTTTCAAAACTACATGAAAAAAAATATATTGTCATGAAAAATATTTCCTTAAGTTGCATTTAGTTTGATGAATTGTAACTGTGAAGAAATTAGTATGTCGTATGTATGCCAACTCAGACTCACAAATTTATTGTCCCACATGTATTTAATCGCATGAGAACAACTCACTTTCCCAGCCAGGCTTTAGGGAGAACATTGACGCCCGACCAATGAACCCCAAATTGTTTATTTTTTAGGACCCTGTGGTTTCTAAAATCTGGGACTGATGACACAGACAGACAGCCAGCAGAAAAGAACAGGGTCTGTGTCCTTCATTTCTCATCATCTATCACACTGTCATGCACTAAACCCCCCTGTGTGTGCCCGTGTGTGTGTGTGAGGCTGTGTGTGTGCATGTGTTAAATTTACATGTGTGTGTTCTTTTGTTATTTCATTATTTCCTCTGTGTGTGTTAATGTCAAAAAGAAGCTGTTTGTGTGTGTGTGTTATCAGTGTATAGATGTGTGTTTGTGTGTGTTGTATCGGTGTATAGATGTGTGTTTGTGTGTGTTTTCACAGTGTATAGATGTGTGTTTGTGTGTGTTTTCACAGTGTATAGATGTGTGTTTGTGTGTGTTTTCACAGTGTATAGATGTGTGTTTGTGTGTATTGTATCGGTGTATAGATGTGTGTTTGTGTGTTCATGAAATACACTTGAATGTTATGACTTTAATGCAACAGTTTGTTGGATTCTGTGTGGGATGAGAAACACAAATGTCTGTGATATGTGACAATTTCATAGCTAGTTTGCACCATGACTTTCACACATGCGCACACACCCACACACACTCACACACACGCACACACACGCGCGCACACACACGTGTGCGCACACACACACACACATACACACACGTGTACACGCACACACACACGCACACACGCACACACACACACACACACACACACACACACACACACACACTCACATTGCTTGCCTAGACCTACCACAGCTTGAGACCACATGGGGCTTGTATAAACTACACAGAATGGAAAGGCAGGAACTTAGCACATAAGGAGAGCAGAGGGGGATTGAGGAACACAGATGAGGACAGACAGAAACGAAAAGAGAAAGAGAGGCTTTTATTGAAGGTCGTCTTTCATCTGACTGATCTCATGTTTCTTCCCCGAGGCTTGGCGAGAAAAAGAAAACCTTGTGTCTCTTTCTAAATCAGTAGAAGTACCATCACTATCTCCTGGAAAAACCCAGACGCTCCAGGTGGAGCACTTTAGAATTTCGATTCTCTCTTCAGATAATATCCTGCTCCCTTACATTTCATATGAATGTCATGAACCACCATGTGTGTAGAATAAGAACACCTTCTTTCACTTTTATCAATGTATTTGCAGGTTATACCAAATGTTTAAAAAAAGTCTGTTAAGGAATTCACAGAGAAAATACCTGCAGTATAAGAGGAATATTATATGAATTTAACTTTCTTACTTCTGTGTATTAAGTATGGCACCTGGGCCTTGACACTAGTTCAGTCTACACAAAGACTGAAAACAGGATGGAAACAGCTAGCCGGGCTCTCTTTCAAAAGGAGATAAAGAGTAAAAGGAGATATTTTCTCTTAAGCTGACCATGTTGTCTTTATCAAAAACATTTCTTATGATTCGGTCTCTCCATAACCTTCTTTAAGAACACAATCGAAACAAGAAAGAAACCCACAGACTGTAGAAACATGGACGTAGTCTCGGCGTTATGAAGCCAGATGATGGCGAAAATCTTGAAAATGTTATCTAGAAACAGGCAAGGAGTTAGAGCTGAGGTGGGCCTTAAGCATTCAGGCAAGCATTTGATTGAGTTAATGTAAAAAAAAAAAAAAAAAATAAAAAAAAAACTTTTAACTTTGTAATACAAAAAATAATAATTTCATGAAGACCATGAGACAGGCTTCACAAATAAATCTGTAAAAGTATGTCCATATGTACCAAATTGTCTGGGTGGGATCCTGCAGATCCACTGTGAGATTTCTCTGTGGGTGTGACTGACGAGTATTTCTCAATAGCTGCACAAATGAAGCCTCCACATTTCTGTGGTCTGCACTCCACCTCTCATTGAGCCTGTTTTACTCACCCGCTGTTGGTTTCGTTATCTCTTTATACTCTACTGCATTTAATTTAAAAACACATCAGAACTTCTACTGTCGTTGAATCAAATTCAGTTATTTCAACTATATTTACAGACTTTTTTTGTTCTTTTGATGTGAATCCAGAACTGATCATCAGACAGAGGTGGGCGAGATAGGACAAGAGAGAGAGAGAGATTAGAAATGTCTAGTACACAATGATTATGAAAAAGGCGATGTCCTTGGCTCATAATACAAATGCGTTAAATTCACCATTCAAATATGCAACAGTTTTTTTTTAATTTATGTTTGGGGCTTTTTGTGCCTTTAATGGAGAGATAGGACAGTGGATAGAGTCTGAAATCAGGGAGAGAGAGAGAGAGTGGGGAATGACATGCGGGAAAGGAGTCACAGGCCAGATTTGAACCCGGGCTGCCCGTTCTGAGGACTATAGCATCCAGACATGGGGCGCGCACACTAACCACTGCACCACCAGCTTGATCCTACAATCTACAAAAAAGAACATTAAAGCCATTATTATCAAACTCAAACCACAATTACAGATGATTTTAAACATTATCCGTTGCCATGGCGATCTCTATATCACTCAACCCATTGCTTTTACTTGATGAGGAGGCGTTTGTACTTTATCAGAAAAACTGAAACACTGAATATAAAACATTTAACATCGTTAGAGAGATTCAAGGTCACAAAGCACCTGTCAGGATGATGGATGGAGGAGCAATATATCCACAAGAGGTGTTCCTTTAAACTCTACACACACACACACACACACACACACACACACACACACACACACACACACACACACACACACACACACACACACACACACGAGTCTCTGAGTGCTCAGCAGAAAGAGATTTGGTGTTGAATGATGAGCTGGCACTGAAAGCATTAATATATCATTAGTATTGATAGCAATAAGACCCCCTGCTTTGACTCACACACACACACACGCGCGCGCGTACACACACACACGAACACACACACGCACACACACGCGCACACACACGCGTACACACACACACACACGCAGACACACACACACACACAGATACACACGCACACACACACACACGCACACACGCACACACATTCAGAGGCTAATTCAGATACTCTACATCACAGATAAGCACAAACTCGCAGATACAGCAAATAAGTTTACCCCAACCCCCAACCAACGCACACACACACACACACACACACACACACACACACACACACACACACACACACACACACACATACACATACGCTCTTCTCCAGTATTGAGTTGTGGTTAAGCGGCATATAGTGGCCCAGCTTCCATCTGTGTGTGGATCAATACAGAAAGCTCCTCTGCCTGTAGGATTAGACCACTCCCTTCTAACAACACAAACAACTGTCGTGATCGAGGGGCAACAGAGCCGAGTGAAAAAGAGGATATTTTGGTCATGTTAAGAGTGCTACCGATGCAATTCATATTCTCATTTCTCTTTGTTGTAGATTTAATTTTGTCCAAATCTATTTCTGAGTATATTTTAGATCACTCGAACCTCAAAACAGCACAAAACCAAGAGTAAACCAATAAGTGAATATTTGCTCAATAATGAAAGATTTAAATAATTCCTATAAATATATCCACACATGGCAGCTATAGGGGGTTAACAAATGTTTATACCAAGAGTAGCTCATTTTTGTGCCACTAGGGGGCAGCAGAATCAAGATGCAAACATGCTTATAATGACTTAAGTCAAGTGGTGCAAAAAATCCTGATTTACACATCCAGTAGTTGCTAAGCATCTTTAGCATTAAATAAGAATTAAGACTTGGTCACTTGGTGAAACTATAGGTTGAATATACAGTCCTTTGGAGCTCTCGGTTATGTCTACACCAAGTGCTGAGGGAAATATCTTGCTTTTTAGCTGCTAAATAAGTTATTGTCTTATATTTTCCATTTTTTGTTTAGAACTGTGCATTGAGCGATGGTATACAGTGGGTCTGTAAATGCTGTTTATGTCTAATGTCTGGGGAAATTAGTAACACAAATGTTGAATTTTAACCAGTGACAGAATGTCTCTGATAATATCACTCATGCAGCAGTAAGACCAAGCAATCGGCAACATTTTTTAATGAACTGCAGATTTTGGTAATAATTCGCAACTTCAGGGGTGCCGGTGGTTTAGTGGTTAGTTTGCTGCCCCGTGTACAGAGGCTATAGTCTTTTAAGCGTACAGCCTGGGCTAATAAAAAAGAACCTGTGGCTCCTTTACCACATGTCATCCTCGATATCCAACTCGATATCCCGTCTCTCAAATAAAGGCATAAATATATAGATATAATAATGTTTCATTTCAAAGCATTCCTTCTCAAATCAGCATTATTATGTGATCACCTGGCGTCGGTCATGAATGTGATGCAGGTCTGACAGACAGAAGCAAAGATCAATCAGTTTAGGGTTCAGTTTATCATGACTCCAGCTGGGTATCAAGTCTGCCTCATTGAAATAGAGTATCGTTGACAGCAGCCGTTTTGATAAAGCAGCAGAAAGATTTGCAGAGGGGACAGACAGAAACTGGAGTCAGTCTGGCTATGTGCAGTCAAAAAGGTAGTATGACATATACTGTACATGTGACTATGTGTGTGTGTTACGTTGCTATTATGGTGAGTCATTGAGATGACACAAACTACATTCCAGTTGAACTAAGCAACCCCCTTTACTCTCTCTGTCTGCATTTCTGTTTAGTCTGCTCTCTGCCTCACCTCTCGGCACACTTTGTAACCCCAACCCCACCCCCTCAATTTCCCTCGGCTATCACTTAAGTGTAAATATATAACCATAAGTATTTTTAAAGCGGGAGCAGGTCATGCTGAGGGCTTCCAAACACACACACTAACACTACACCCAGTCATGTCATATATTTGAAAATCTTGTCATGCTGATGGCTTCTGATGACGACCTGATGATCCATTTAGTCTGTGTGTGTGTGTGTGTGTGTGTGTGTGTGTGTGTGTGTGTGTGTGTGTGTGTGTGTGTGTGTGTGTGTGTGTGTGTGTGTGTGTGTGTGTGTGTGTGTGCGTGTGTATTCATGCTAATCTGTGTCAGAACAGTTTGTCAGTCTGACTGTCTGTCTCCCTGCCTACCTTGACGAAAATATCAACATCAGTGAAGTATATAAACAGCAGCTCTGAGCATGTTGTGATGTAATGTTGTGACTCCCTCTGGTGGCGGTTTATGGGACTGCATGTTAATTTATTTGTCCTTTATCAGTACCAAGTTGTAAAATAGATCTTTTTTGACACATTTGGTTCATAAATTGTAAATGGTTAAGTGTTTCTAATATGCATCCTCCCCTGTTACTATTTAAATACCGTGTACTTAATGTATTCTCTCTTTTTCTCCCATCCCTTTCTGACTCTCTTTACATTTTCCTTCCTCCTGTCTCCCTCACCTCTTTCATCCTTCTATCCCTCTCTCTCCCCAGTCCAGACGACAGCAGGACCCCAGCCCTGGCTCAAACATGGCCAACGCTGACATGGAACACAAGATGCGCTGAGGAGGAAGTGGGGGAAGAAGAAGTAGTGCAGGGAGGTAAAGGAGAAAACAGGGGCTGGCTGTTCATTCACTTTCAACACAATCAATCAACCAAAGTAAAAAAAAAAAAACAATGCTGTATTTTTTCCTAAAAGGTTTGACATAATCTTTTTCATACATCAAACATTTTTTTTATATTTAAATGTGCCGAACGATACAACGTAGGACTTGATTGAATTGAAAGTGAAACAAGCCTGGAAAATAAGGATTTTAAGGAAAGCAGAAAAAACAGACCTGGACAAAAAGTACGTAGCTGAATTTATTTAGATACAGAAGAAGCAACACGAGCTGCAGTTTAAACCAGAAATGATAAATGTGACAGATCCAGAGTTGACTTTATTTCTTGAGTGGAAAAAAGTGCTCTAAATATTTAAAGTAGAGGTCAAATCAAGCAGAAAGGTTGATATGTTTTTGTCCAGGTCTTCAAAGATTTGATGGATGGATGTAGATTCAAGTACCAAAAGTATATTTTCTATTAATGAATAGAGGAAGAGGGGTTGTAAGGGCTTGAGGCAGGGAGGAGGAGGAAAGTGGGGTGGGTTATATGGTCTGGAGCATGAATCAAAAGTGAGGGGCTGACCGTTGGTGAGAAAAAAGGAAAAGATTCTGCATTGTTCAGGGTTGTGCAACACTTCACATTTGTAAGCATGCCCAGCTCACTTCCTGAAACCTGCTGTTTTCTTAGACCAAAGTTCATTATGCTGGAAGGGGGGGGGGGGGGTTAAACATGGGCAGGTGGGAGGGCAATCAGAAGGAATAGTGCCAGGTTTTTGCTGTATTGTGATATTTGTGATCTCTTTGAAACATGACTATGATGACATGCCCTGACCAACCTGCACACAGGTTATGTAGCAACAACCTCAAGGCGGGACAAAGAAAACTGTTCTGCCATCTTTGGCTTTGAGGGTGCGATGTGGGTCAATCCAAAACGTCCTTTTGTCTTTTGAGGGGTTATGCACTATGTGATACAATCAGTCCTGATCCCCACATGGATTCTTCCTCTGCATGAAACCAAACACAGGTCGACCTATGTACTTTATTGTTTTCTATGCAGCCTATTTATCAAGAGAGCACTCTCTGTCAGCGCTTTGATGAGGAATAACTGGGTGATCAGAGGCTTTGTGATGGAGAGGCAACATATACTGAAAAACTGTATAAAGAATATACTATGTGGCTCCGCCTCCTCCTGCTGTAAAAAAAGAGATGGAGACCAAAATACCTGACATCTGTGCTTGTAAGGTCACATGGAGCTCGAGTTAACTTCCACAAACCAGAACATATTTAATTTACTGATAAGATGGCAAAGATCCCTCAGGTCAGTCCACATTAGAACAGATACTTGTGTCCATTTGAAGCAAACATTCACAGTTATGGAAAGTTTAATAGGAGGAATAGTGTCGCAGGTGCCTCATCTGTCAGCAGAGCTAGCATTAAATAAAAAGGAAGCCTCTTGTAAACATCTTTAACACAAATGATAATAACTCACTATGAAGACAGAATCCTGAGAAAAATGTAATTCAAACGCATTTTAATTTGATAATTTGATCAATTTGGAGGAGGCGGGGTTTATGACCGATGCTGCAGCCAGTCAGCAGGAGGAGCTCTATTTATTTTGGCTTCACTTGAGTCAAGGTGTTCTGTTGTCCATTCTTTATACAGACTATGTGGTGGACACAAACAGTAACAGGCCTGATCAAATAAAAAGTCATCTTTTTTAAAACCAGGATATTTTTTTAATCAGACAACTCATGATCAGCTCACATTTCACTTTGGTGTTACCACCAAACATAATTGAACCAAGTGGTCACCCTTTGTTTTTAGAAGCTGTGCACACCACTGAAAATAGTTCAGGTTGGATGCTTCACCAGAGCTCCTCAGTCATCCCAAACTGAATGAAAAAAACATCGATCTACACCTTTGCCGTTTAAAAAAAATGTCGTAATCAGAAAAAATTCATGATCGCATCTTTTTAAGGTTTGCCATTCATGGATTTGACTGGACAGCAATGATAGAAATCACACAAGCAGTCAATACACAAGAACCTGAAACTCTACAAAGTACACACAACAGACATCAGCAGCCTCTTATCTCCTCCATCACTTCTGCTCTGCAACCATTGCATTTCAATCTCCATTAATAATTCACCAGCTTAGATAAGAGACCGTACTGTCCATGGTACTAATTCAATTGAGAATCCATCACAGGGTCCATCACTCAGATATTCCTCATCATTAGAGGACGCTGAAAGCAGTCTGAAATCTATTTCCTGTTACAGCACTCGTGAAATCAGATGTGATGTTTAGTTTTCTTATTGTTTTGTTTGTGTGAAAGTCAGGATGTTTACTTTTTATATTCCTACTTATCTTCTGTTTATGTATCTATGTGTTCATCTGTCAGCTTTGTTATGAACTAGTATTAGCAGTGTAGGCTATTTTCTGTTTAGATGAGATTTGGGACTTTTGTTATGTTTTTCATTGATTCATGTGTTCCTTTTATTAATGTTATTCTTATTTGTTTTTAAAGGAAATCCACTTCCTGGGTTAAAGCATTGAACGTGGATTGACTTAAGTTCTGTTATTAAGCAATATAAATGTTTTTACATTGTTCAACAAGAAGCTCATTTCATTTTCCGGTGTGTAAGGCACTCAACGGTTTTATTATTAGTATTGTTATATTAACGACAAATACCTTTTTGTTTATTCATGATTTTACTTTTCTCAGTCCAACGATTAAAAAGTGTAATGAGCTTAACGTGAGTGAAGAGGACCGGTGATGTTTTGATGCATTGATAGTCTTGGGCGTAAAAAATGTTGCTTAAAAAACATGAAATTGAAATAAAAAGTGAAAACTCAAAATGCTTGATCACAAGAGCCTGTGACAGATGACAGAAGCTGTATCAAATCAAAGACCTCACGATGAGTGATGAAATCAGAAGAACTGTTTAAGCTTCTATGATCAAACTTTTTTTTTCTAAAGTTTCCTTGAGGTTCCTTTCTGTTGGTGTTGATTTTGGCGCCCCCTGTGGACGAAGCTGAACATTAATAGAAAATGTCATTTTCTTATTGAGAGACTTATTAATCACCCGCAGAGATTTTGGAGATTAGGGACACAAAGCTTATTCAGATCCTGAATTTCAAAACTTCCTGTCTGAGAGAAACTTCAAATTGTTGATGGTGGATTTTTATTTTTTGACATTTCATATCCTCATTCTCCCAGAAGAAGAGAACACCGCAGGGAAGTAGGACTTAACACTGTGAGTGAGGTGCGCAGACAAACAGAAGAAAGCATTAATTCATGTGGAAGAAAAACTTGAGTTATGGCCCAGGATGAGACAGACGTCAAGTTGATGAATGATGGCCTAAATTTATAGGTGTAGTGGTTGTTTAAGTTGCTTGGAAACTGACACAACACGGGGTCTGAACCAGTTCAATTAAAGAAGAGATGCAGGCTGAAAGGGACAGTAAGACTTTTTAGGATTAAGCATTTGGGGCCAGGCTTAGAAATGTGATCCATTAATCAATTGGTGATGTCTGTTCTACAAATATAACGTTCACAATCAAGTTTTCCCTCATTAACAAGTATCATACCATGCAGAGTAAAACCCTGAAAATCAATCTTTTTCTACATCAATAGTGTTCAAATATGGGGATAGTGAGGACTGTAAAGACAAACTTATTTCTAATTTAGTTTAAAGTAAGGATTGATCACCTTGATATTATCCTGTCACCATGTTTGTTTATCATCATCATCTTAGTTCATACTCCATCCCTCAGTTTTCTTAATGCAGGCATTAAGGTAAAACAATAAACCATCAACATTGTCTTTCTTTTTTTTGTTACCTTAACTGTTTATCTGCTTTTTTTGTTTAAGTTATTTATACGTCTGTGTTGTTTTGAGATCCAAAGATGAAACTCTATGATATAGTAACACTCCCCAGGTTTCTCCTTCCGCTGTGTTTGGTCATTTTTCCCCCCCTGTTTTAGGTCTTAGCTTTTCTTCTTGGAGTGATCTGAAATGTTAGACCTTCAGTTTAAAATGTTGGATGTTTTTTTTTTTTCATAATAAACATTTATGAATTCTTGTATTTGTTTCTGTCTTTTTACACTGAAACTAATGATCCACCTAAACAAGTTCTTACACAGATACAGTCACACAAGCATAACATAACACAGGAGAACATATCATCTTGTCAAGTGTGTCCAATCATTTACAAGGCAAAAAGTGTAAATACAACCAAAATGATCACCTGAAGAAGACCTCTGGTCGAAATGTTGTGATCAGTTAAAACTTTTAGTGGCATTTAAACAAGTGTTCTTCTTAAATACAACAACTGGCCCATTTGTGCAAAGCAGTGTTTGACCTGTTAAACAATGGAAAGCAAAGATGAACAGTCCCCACAGTAAAACTCATTAAAGTTTTGTTCTGTGGGAAACATTCTAGACAAATTACTTGTATGTGTGAACACATTTGCCGTTTCTGATTCTGAAAACATGCTGCTGTTTATGCATTTAATTGTAATTTTCAGGCACAACAAACATTTCCCTTTTTGCCAAATTGGATTTGGGCAGTCTTAGGTTACGTTTGAGATGGAAAGCTAAAACCTGATTTAAACTAACCGAGTAGGTAGCCTATCACAAGCCAGCAAAGGACAGAAGCACGGGGTGAATGGATCCATGGCAGAGTACGCTTCAGGATGTAAGGTAGAACAGGGACACCATAGTGGAAATACTGCTAAGAGTTAAGAAGCCAAAGTAACAGCCCACTGAAGGAATCTTTGATGTGGTTTTCTAATCTTTAAGACAGTGTAGTGTTTCAAAGTAAACATTTCTGTATTTCACACAAAGAACAGATTTGCATTGAGAAATGACTATAATGTATAGGCTATAAAAACCTGCCTAATAATAATACATTTTTAAAAAGACAAACAGAGAGAATTTGTTTGCATTTATGCAGCTGTTTTGGCTCCCCCACTTTTTTACATATATTGTTTGTTCCCATGAAATGAAAATTACAAATGGTCAGATTTACTCCAGCGTACCTGTGTTAAATGTTCAGCCTTCATGTGCCAAATACTTTTTCAATGAATCATTATTTGAGTATATTTACCACAAAATAACCGTATTTTCTCTTCCTGTAAAACTTTTGAAATGTCTGATGGCTCATCCTAAAGTCAAGGGTGTTTACTTATTTTTGACTCATTAAAAAGCTTTGTATGATTTCAACAATCCAATCACATTCATCCCAACGTTATGTCCTGCCTTCTATCTTGTGATTGGTTCAGTTGGAAATATGACATGACATGGCAGTTGGATACTCTTGAAGTTCTGTTACATGGGGACTTCAAAGGTCCTGTGAGGAGCTATTCTTTTTCCTGCCTCTTATCCTGCTTTCCAATGTGTCACTGAGCATGAATCGTTGTCGTTGATAATGATTTTCATTTGAAGGCTGTTTTTAGAAGCAAGCTGACACCTACGCTCTTGCAGCAGTTTCAGACATTAAAAATAGCTGTACAGACATGGTCAATGTTTATGCCGATGGTCTTGTTTTCTTTATTAGGTTATAAATATGCATCAATATTAATTAGAGTCTGCTTCATAACCAGCTATAAACTCCTCACAGGAGCTTTAATTAAAATTCCTATATGCTAAACAAAATACAAAAGGTTGAAATCACACATTTACTGTATATAAGTTAAATGAGCACTGTGAAATAAAAAAACAGGTGGAAAAAAATTGTTACAAAAAACAAATTGACTTAAAAGGTCTATAGTAGGCAAAGTTGCATCAAATAGAATTATTCTGTTGGCATTAACTTCACAATCCTTATAATCACAGCAAATCATTGACTAACCATACCCTTTAGCATACTGTAAACAATAGCAACATGTAAAGAAACATTAGAAATTGTACATAAATTGATACCAGAAACCAATTAGATAGGACTTGGAATGTGTTTAATGTAAAAAAAAACAATGATGTTAGATATCCAAACGTAAAAATAAAAATAAATAATCGTCTGTAGTATAGCCTATTATTAGCCTACATAGCATCTAGGCTATACTTCACTTTTCCTATTTTAATATGGTATGAACTGTACTCAGTCATGGAAATATTCAAGCTGATTTAGATATTTGACTTTAGAAATCCCGCTTCACAGTCGTATGTGTCAGCTGACCGTGACGTCAACACGTCCGTCGAGCACGTTTGTTGAACACAGGAAGTTGAATTATCAGCTGATCCTGCTGGCTGTTGTTGATGCCTGAAGTTGCTGTTGTTTGGACACCGTGTCGCTCTTATCTGCTCCTGACATTGAAGAGACATTAAACCCCGAGAGAGGGACACTGTGGGCATTCACCGTTTGAATATCTAAAGAGAATCAAGGGAAGCGTCGTGTCTTTAAGACTTTATATTCTGTCGACAGGAGAGCAGCTAGCCTCTTCAGCTTGAACGGTGAAGAGAAGAAAAACAGCCGACGGCTTGGCGTGTTTTCTTTGTTTATGTCGTGCCAGTCTCAACCGCGGAATCAGTTTTATTTGCCTCGAATTTAGTTTTTTGTTTTCCTGCACATACATTATTTATATTTATGCTCATTTACCATAACACGGAGAGCAGCTAGCTCGTATGCTAACGTTAGCACAGTGTTGTTGTCAAGCTTTCGTAACCGCCCGACAGTGACTGAAAACAGGGACTGACAGACGAAGAAGTCGGGCTGGAGGAATTAATGTCGTGCCTCTGTGTTTTTTTCTTATTATTCCCACAATCTGTCACTTGTTAGTTGCTTTGTTGAACTGTTATAGCTGAACAAGTTGTTTTTCTCTCAAAGCGTTTGAGACGTTTTAGTCTGTTAGTCATAGTCATCTCTTTGTTCAGTCCTGAATTTGAATCAAGTGAGTTCATGTGTTTTGTTTTTTTAAAAGGTACATTTTTACGTACACAAGCAAGTAGTGTGTAAAGTGACAGCTGGCCTTGTACGTTTCAGGCTGACAGGTTGCGTCATTTGTTTGTGTGCAGGCTGTGAGTCTATGCAGTGTATCTGTTCACCTCTTATTTGAAACCTCTGTATCTCTGTTAGCTGTAGGTACTCAGCCTCAGGTGCTGTTGTGGATGTCATTTTAAATATTTAACACATTTTGTCATTCTCCTCTCATGCGACATGTAATGAAGTGACCATATTTCACTGTACTTTATAGATTTAGTAGCTGTTTCATGTTCACACTCTTGAATTTAGTAGCTCTGTGAAAAAAGAAAAAAAAATGAATTGAAGTTGCTACCTGAGGCTATTTTGAGACAGTGGGTGAAATCAGGGAGAGACAGGCTAAAAGAAAGGGTCCCTCAGAGGGGTCCCATTGTGTCTTAAGGTGAGCTGAGCTGCCCCCCCCCCACTACTTGCCAATGCTGGATCTGGAGGTGGTGCCTGAGAGATCACTAGGAAATGAGCAATGGGAATTCGCCTTAGGTGAGTTTTGACGAAACCTTTACAAGCATTAAAAAACATGACCCACACTAAAGGGGAGGGGGAAGAGAAAATAAAAGCTGCTTATGAATTCCTGAGGCCATATTCAAACAAACACAATTATTGACTTGTGATGGCTCTGTGGGAAGTTAAGTTATGTTTGTTCATTTTTGTGAGTGTTTTTGTGTCTGTGTTTTCAGGGATGCCATTGGCCCAGGCCATCTCTATTCTTCAGAAACACTGCCGCATCATCAAAAATGTCCAGGTGCTATACAGTGAACAGGTTATATGACCAACGGTCCCTCTTTGTTATATCCTCTCTCATAAACAAAATTGTTAATCAGCTTGTTCCAGAATCTCCTTTTTAGGCAGCATTACATGTTTGCAATTTTAAGACGCCTCCTTGTTTGGCAGTAGTTAAGCCAGTCCTAATAACCCACCCCCACCCTTTATTTAGTTTGATGCCATTTGGTAATACTGTTCAGTGCATAAGCTTATTACAGATTTGATATTGCCGTGTATGTAGGCTGTTTGACAAAAGATTTCTCCCCATTTAGTTTAGTTTACCCTTTGTTACCCTTACAAAATGTGTCCAGCAGAGAGCACTGAAGGCTTTATTTATGATTTTTTAAAGATTATGAGCCTCTCTCATCCCTAATTCTCAAAACTCTCTAAAAAGAGTAGAACATATTATTTTTTTCATATTAGGCGTTTATGTAAACAAAGGTTATTTTTGAGACCGTATAATTCAGCCACTAAAAGGCAATATCCGTCCAGCTATTTTAAAACTCTTCCCACAGGTTCGATGCTAAAAATACAACCAGTCAGAGAGCTTGTTTTTAAAAGACTTTGAATATTGGATTCAAAATTGTATTTATGAGTGACATCAAGTGTCACATATATAACAGTCCATGGGATGTTTTAGTTTGGGCATGTGCCTTGTTTTTCTCTGAACTAAAAATAAGGTTTGTTTGCTTTGTATCTGCTCATGAGGTCACACCACCCTCTACCTGCAAGCTTTTGTTTGTCTCCCCTCCAGACGCCACTCAGCCATGACCTCATACTGAATTTGACTCAGGATGGGATTAAACTGCTGTTTGATGCCACAAATCAGAGACTCAAGGTAAGAGTTATATGTGTGTGTTCGTGTGTGTGGCAAATATATTAAACTATTCTGCCTTGTTAATTAGTGAACATATAACTAACCATGTTATCCATTATCTGTCTGAGTAACAGGTGATTGAAGTCTACGACCTGAGCAAAGTGAAGTTGAAATACTGGTGAGTAGAAATGTCTAACAACTGACGTGGACAGAAGGAGAACTGTATCAGACATTCAGCTGTCATAGTAATGTGCCTTTATCTACCACAAATCTATTTAATGGTCAGTGTGTGTGATTTACATTTTATGTTACCTCGGAGACAGTCTTCAGCTACGAGCCACAGAGTGGCAGCTGCTTATTGGAAGACGTCACAGTAATGGAGTCTGCCTGTTTTAAAGTGTTTCTTTAAAGGCTTGATATGTGATTTTTCACACTTAAATATAATATAAATCAAGTATATTCCCTGAAAATAACTCTGTGAGTCATGACTGTCTACAATGGGTGTAACACTCGAGTCCCACTGTCTGTGATGTTTTCAGAGTTTTCAGAGTCCTATCTTCACTTTGTTTACATCGTCGGGATGGCCAGCTGACTCCTCCCCTTGAGTATAAAAGTTGTTTAATTGAGGGACTAGAGAAAAGAAGAATAACATACTGTACTCACTGCTTAACTGTGTTTCTAGATCACGCTCATTTCAGGTAAATTTACATGCAGTGTGAAGATAGGAGCATAATAATGCTAGCATTAGCATGCTAACACAACAATGCAGTGTGAGTTGTTTTGGTTTCATGCTGGTGCTCAAGGGCGACATCTGCTGGATCAAAAACTCAAATATAAAGACTTTAATGTGTTTCTTTAACTCTGTGGGTGTGATTGACTCAGCGAAATCCATATCGTCTGGAAATAGTTCCTCATCTAGCACAGCATTCCTTATGAATGTTAATCAATGTTACACCAGCTCTTTGTGTGTTCCTGTGTTTCAGTGGAGTCCATTTCAACTCTCAGGCCATTGCGCCGACAATAGAGCAGATAGACCAGTCATTCGGAGCGACTCACCCTGGAGGTACTTAACAACTATATGTATATAAATATACCTACAGTTAATCTTACCAACCTCCTTCATCATGAACGTTTTCCTCTTCTCCGTCTAGTTTACAATGCCGCAGAGCAGCTGTTCCATCTCAACTTTCGAGGCCTGTCCTTCTCCTTCCAGCTGGACTCATGGAACGAAGCTCCAAAGTACGAGGTGAGAATGTTTCCTCCGACTTGGCTCGTCAAGCTGTTTAAAGAAAGGCTGAGTGGTTGTTTCTTCACATCCTAAGGGAATCAGGGCAGCCTTGTGATTTAAGTGATTACCCTTCATACTGACAGTCTGAGGGCAAGCCCTGAAAGCATGTTCCTGAATCCTGCTGAGCTAGGTGTTGTGGCATCCTAATGTGAAGTTATAAATGACTGAATGAAGAAACCAAATGCATGCTGGGAATGAGATTGTGTTGCTGTTTGTTTAGTCTCCGAATTGGAAACCAGCGAGCATTAAGTATAAATTCTATTGTTTTACTCTTTAGATGTCAAAGACTCATTGCAGTGTTATGTAAGCGTTGAAAATCAGACTGCAGCAGGGACTTTAGGGACCTGGGTTAGAGGAGGCAGCATGAGTTCTTGATTAAATTCTCCAAAACGAAGCAGACTCCAGCAGAGTGCACTGCAGACTTTTAGGCAATAAAGCACACAATCAACAATCTGTTGTTTCTACTTTATCACTATATGTATTAATACAGTCATAAGTTTACATACCCTGGCAGAATTTGTGATTTTTTTTGGCCATTTTTCATGTCAGAATATATATGATAATACAAAAATGTTTCTTTCACTCATGGTTAGTGGTTGGGTGAAGCCATTTATTATTGTGTTTGCTCTTTTTAAATCATAATGACAACAGAAACTACCCAAATGACACTCGTGGAGTGATGAAAAGTTTTTGTATTATCATTCATATTCTCTGAAAAATGACCAAAAAATCTCAAATTCTGCCAGGGTTTGTAAACTTATGAGCACAGCTGTACATGTAGTGCTGGAGTTTTGCCTTTGTGGCTTTGTTTTACTGTCCGTTGTAGTTGTGGCTGTCTTGGAAGATGCATGTAATGAATCTGCTGCTCTGATTCCTTCGGCTGCTTGCTACTGAGTGCACCTATCATATGGTGATGTTTCTACTGCTCATACTGCTGGTTTCTTATCTCATTGATTAGGGGTTGGCAGCTTGTCACCTCTTTCTGATTAAGCTTTTTGCCTGCTTCAACATATTTGACATTTAAATGTGCTGATGAGTACTCTGTAAATACACAAAAACAAACAGAAAAAAGTAAACTCTGCTGACTCACAGGGATTCTTGTTTGGGTACTGGAACTCTGTCAGGTAAAAACAATTTCTACCTAACAGAGGTCCAAGGTGGATTACAATGTGACGCGTCACCGACAAATAGAATTATGTTGTTTGAGTTTTCCCCTCTGGAGCTGAGGTATTTAGGTCAGTCATTGTGCTATGATGTTAGCTCTCCAGTGCTTCAGCATAGATGACCACATTTTTCTGTGCTTGAGGATCAATGGCTTGTGCAGCATCCTTTTTAACATACATCTGTGCACACACAAACACAGTTCATACCAGGCTTGTACTACTCCCAGTTGTTTTGCCTTGGCAGCCTAACTTTGCCATGGGTTTGGCCTCCCTGCAGATTCCACATGGGGCAATGGTCAAGAGGATGCACATCTACACGGGCAACAACCTGCAAGAAACAAGGTAACACACACTGACACACACTTGCCGATACAACTCTATCATATCTGGGTGCAAATTTTTTTTTTTCTTAATCATTATTTTAATTGTTTTAAATCTTTGGAGGAGTTTGATCTCCATCTTAATCTGCTTCAATCACTGTGAAACTGTATTAAAAATACTGCTCAAACTGACCAGGAATCGTATAAAATGAGACAGTTTAGAATAAGTTTAACAAAACCTCAAAAACAAGGCAGACACACACACACAAATACACACTCTTCTCTCTCTCTCTCCTCAGAGCTCCAGTGATGCCGTGGGCGTGTTTTCTTGGTAACATATATGCAGATGGCGTGGATGTCCTGAGAGACCAGGCAGGGCCTCTTGGGCTTAAACTCCGCCTTCTCACTGCAGGTGACATATGCCTCTTTTTTGTGTTTGTCCTGAGGACAGGGAGCTAAGATCTATGAGCCAAACATGTTTCAAAAGTGTTTCCCCTCACATATCCTCAAAATTACAATGTGATGCATTGGATTCATTTTTCAACATTTCCACCATCAGTTTCCATTCTTTCTTTTTCTTATACTTTTGGTTGTTTTATATTAAAATATAAGTCATACTGATTGTAGTAGTAGTAGTAATATATATATGTTATATTTTCTCTCTTCTTTGTGGGGTTGATTATTGTGTGTGCGTGTGCGTGTGTGTGTGTGTGTAGGCTGCGGACCAGGTGTGATGACTGATGCTAAAGTGAGGACCATAGAAAGAAGCATCTACTTTGGAGACTCTTGTCAGGATGTTCTGGGTGCTCTGGGCTCGCCACATAAAGTCTTTTACAAGTCCGAGGACAAGGTAGGAATGCTTTAACTTCAAGTCTAGAGAAGAGACGCTGCTCTTGTTCTTCAAACTAATTTTGTCTTTCCACAAACACTAATCGTCCCATCCTAATCTTAATCCTGTCCTTAACGCAAGACTACAATTTCCCCCTGAGATCAGAAAGATTTTTTTTATTTTTTTTTTATAAATTAAACAAGTCAGATAAAAGCTTAAAGCAAACACAAGCAGGCTGAAAGGAAAGCGAGTATTGTACTTGAGCTCATAGAGTGGCCAAAAACATTTGTTAAACTAGACAAACATGCACTTCAACATCTACTGAAGATGAAAATGGTTAATTGTTTCTTTGAAAATAAAAATGTTTATTGTCATGTTTGTGTTCTTGTTTATTTTAGATGAAGATTCACTCTCCATCACCTCACAAGCAGGTTTCTTCTAAATGTAATGACTACTTCTTCAACTACTTCACCCTGGGAGTGGTACGTAACTCAGCCTGGGCGAGTGATTCTGTGTATGCCTTTATGTACTAATGACACATTGAGGGTTAATGCACTGGTAATTATACCTTCTTGAAGCCATAGATCAGGGAGCAAAAGAATGAGACTCACTAATTAGAGTTAGTTGTACTTTGGTTTCTTGTATCTTGTTCATTGTGATTAATTTGAGGGACAGACGGTTGCTAAAAGGTTTGTAGTAAAGAGAAATATGTAACTGCTGATGATGGTGGAGAAGCTTCACGGTCTGGCGACAGGAGCTGATCAGTACATGTTTCATAAAGTACTGCTGGTTAGTGGGAAAAATGTATCAAACAGTCATGATCTGGTATGTTTGCATAATTAAGGCCCTGTGTCCACCTAGCGTTTTTTTCCGTGCAGAAAAGCGCTGCTGGTTGTACGTCTGGTAGTGTTTAAAGCGTTTGTGCACTGAGAAGAAAAACGCTGCACGTCCGTCCTGTCTCCATGACAATAGTCTGTTGACAACGGCCACTGTATGACTGACACTGCTCTGTCACTTTTTACTGCATGTTTTTTATTTGAGATTTTTTTTTACCTGATCAGACACGAAGTGAGGAGGATGTGGGTACAACACACGATCTGTAGGAGATACAGGGAACAGCGCTGAAAAAGTTGAACAATTTTCAACTTGAGCGCTTGTCTTTCTGCTGCGAACGCTCTCTCTACCTGTTGAAAACAACTGAAAAATGATGCTGGTGCTGAGAAAAAATGCTAGGTGGACATTGCCTAATGTCGATATTCGATATGACTTGATATTTATAGTATTCAAGTTTATAAATGTAGCCTATAAAACTGAAACTCCACTGTATAAAAAAATAATATATCACTGGCCTGACCTTTGTAACCGCTGGCCCAGGAACATTACTTTTGATTTGAAGAATAACAGTCACCAATTTACTCTTGAACCATTCTGATGCAAAAGTCAGTTACAACTTTTATTTAATTAATTGAGCTCTAATTATAAAAATATTTTGTATTTTTCTTACATTTATGTGCTCATGTTTATTCACCATGCTGGTAACTGTAAGAGTCTACTTAATCTGATATTAATATGAGGCTGTGATAGATCTGGAATCTCTCCTTCTTTCTTCTCTGTGAGAACCTCTTCATCCTTAGATCTTTACTTTAGGAGCTCTCTTAAGGGCTAAGATGCTTTGTAAATAACTTTTATCTTTACCAGGATCTAGTCTTTAACTTTAACGTGTTCCAGCTCCTCCAGCAGGTCTGTCACTGTGGCTCAAACTTTTCTCCCCTCTGTTTTCGTCATGCCCTGCTGTCACTCTCTACTCTTCCGGTGATTTCTATTCTTTGAATTCTGATTTAAGGTCGGCTTTTATCGGGATCTAATGGTTTTAAAACCGTTTTACTAAACGTGTGTTTTAGTAGAGAAAACCTGCGCTAAGATCTGTGTGCAAGTGTACAATAGGAGAAGGGACAGCAGTGAAGCCGCCAGCTGAACGTGCAATCAGCTGGACTCTGTCAATCATTCATCCGGGCCAGCGGGCCAGTTATAATGTCGAGCCCTGCGTTATGTGCCCTTTTTTAATTCGGCCTCGCTCTCATCTTTCTCCTCCATGTTGGTCGCTTACAAGAGCTAGGCTACTCAGCGGCAGGAGTGGAGTCTCCTCCACCCTTTCGTCTCCGTGCAACAAGCGCTGCCGCGGAAATCTCGCGGAGCAACGAAATATCGAGAGACAACGTTGAAGTAGTTTAAAAAATAAAATCGATGTTCCCTTTTCCATATCAAGCATTATTTAAATATCGATCGAATCAAGCTTCACGATATATCGCCCAGCACTAGGTGGACACGGGGCCTAATGTGTGATAAGTTATAGCAGTCTAATTTAGCCCCAGTAGAGTTCCTGAGTGTAGTCCAAAAAAAATGATGTGATGTTTCATAAACAAAACTGAGCTTCCTGAGTGCAAACTGCCGACAATTTTGCCCCAACTTTACTAGGACGGACACTCCTTCAGTAGGTTGGCCGATTAGTTGGTCGATGAGCTCTCGTCTGACCAAAATCTTATCAGTCGGACAATCGCAAGAGTTACTTTCATATGGAAGATGAGATTCATCCATTTTGTCTATTTGCAGGGATGGGAGGCTCACCTGTAGTCAACTGGTCTGTTCAACAGTTTGAAAAAAGTAATCTCAAAGACCATGTGTTCTTATTTTTCAGGATATCCTGTTTGACTCAACAACACACCTGGTTAAGAAGTTTGTCCTCCACACCAACTTCCCTGGACATTATAACTTCAATATGTAAATATGTTTTATCTAGCATGATTCCTTTCTTTATCATTCCTTCCTCTTAAACGTTCTCTTTTCTCAACATATGTCATTCTCTACATGAATAAGGTTCCTTATTAAGACACTGTAAAGTTTTTTCCTTTGTGTGTCTTCATGACTGTTGCTCTCATCACAGATACCATCGCTGTGACTTTAAGATTCCACTGGTCATTAAGAAAGGTAAGACAGTTTTCAATCCTGCATCTTTCAAAGTAAAATCTCTGTGTGCCTCAGCATTAATGGATTCGTCTAATGTGTGTTTTTTTCTGTCTCTGTTATTGTGTCCCTGCACTTTAGAAGGAGCAGATTCTCAGAGGGAGGACTGCATCTTAACCACCTACAGCAAGGTCAGTTATACACAAAATGTTCATAGACCTGTCCTTTCCAGTTCAGACCACAGATTTGAGACCAATTGAAAAGTGTAACTACTAGCAATATTCTGCTCTACAACATTTTGAAATCTGCAATTTTGAACCAATGACACCAGACAAGACAGTTTAATTTTCTGTCAATGTCATGGATGTAGGCCACAGTATAAAGCTGCATGTATGTGTGATTGTTTGACCGAGTGCAGAGCTGAGCTACAAGCTAGCATAAACCTAAACCTATATGACCTAAAAGGCAGGAGAAGCATGTGTTTAGTTTTGACTCAAACAAGTGAATAACTTCAGCGCTGTGTGGAGTCGTCACCATTTAATCTGTACTTCCTTATTAATCGTAGCTCTCCAATTGTCAGAGTTCAGAAGTTTGTTGTTAATTTCTAAAGGTGATGATTTGGAAGGGCATGTCTTATTAATGAGTCCAACTTTTTAATTTCAGACTCAGTATCTCGTTGTTGATTTCTCACTGTTTTCTTTTTGGCTTCACTACTTCTTATACTTGGTCTCCACATCATTTGTACATTTCTGGTTAAGAGCCAAAATAATATTGACTAATATACATGACATCTGTATTTTGCTGCTGTTGTCATCAGATGTTACTATTCAGGAAGTAAGATAAATGTCTTTAGAGTGTGATGTCATTCCTATCCGCTGAAAATAGCCCAGAAATCTACACGGTTTTACTTGAAACAGGATGCAACAGTTGAGCTTCACGTCTGCAAAGCTGTGATAATCTACAGTGTCTTTCTCCTCGTCTCCTTTGACACGCAGAGATCTGTCTGAATGTACACTGACATTGGAAACAGCAGTATCACATTGACGCTAATATAATGTCAACATCAACTGTTACTACACCGTTTTGACTGCTTGCATTTTGTCTCTGTGTCAGTGGGATCAGATTCAGGAGCTGCTGGGACATCCTATGGAAAAACCTGTTGTGCTTCACAGGTAAACACACATTCTTTTTCTAATGCACACTGAGATATTTGATGTGTCCAACACATGTAGAATATCATGTGTGATCATATGTTAATGTTGTGGATAAAGAAAAATGTCACTGGAAAATAACCAGGACATTACCCAGACGAGTATGCTCTCTGACGTTGTAATTGATCACATTTGTTGTGTTTGTCAGGTCCTCTTCAGCCAATAACACGAACCCCTTTGGCTCCACCTTCTGCTTTGGACTACAGAGGATGATCTTTGAGGTCAGAATACAATTCTTTGTAGCATTAGCTAGCATTAGCATTATTGTCATGTGTGTTAAATTTTAGTTAATGTGACGGCTTTGGTTGTTTTGAAGGGCTCGTTTAAGAATTATTTTGCAAACACCCCAATGTAAAAGTGATGGCAGTGTTTATTTGGTCCAGCAGGGGGGTGTACAGAGGGGTGGACACAGGCTGCATGGGCCCCCTCTTAAAATGTAATTGGCCACCCCAAAATCCTGTACAATGTTTCACTTTGTCAAAGGCAGGACTTTGGTCAAAATCAACTGTTCTAGCTATCTTGCTACAGACTTCTAGTAGTTTTCATTTCAAAGTAACACATTTCCTTTTGTCAGTGCTTTGAACTGTGGGCAAATATTTTACACATCTATTTCATAAGATGAGTGCAAAGAGAGGAATGAGTCCCAAGAATTTGCAAGGAACCTCCTGCACATAAAAAAACACATTATTGGCAATGTCTCTGTTCCAAAACCTCCTGTGCATGAGTTTACCTACAATTTTGTTTTAAATACTTTGAATTGTGACTTTGGACATACTTCTTCTTTTGAGGCCTTAAAGAATTACTGCTTAGAAGATAAATATGTTGGTACACAAGTCTGTACTTTTTAACGTTACATAATGAATAATGATAACTTTATTTATATAGCACATGTTTACAACGTGCAACATAAACTCAGGACAACAACAGAACAGACTCCAACAGGCCAAACTGAGAGTACAGAGATAAAACAGGCAGGTCTCAAAAGGCAATTATTAAGGAAAATTCAATAAAAGATAAAAAGTCAACAAGTTGATGACTACAATGCAAAAAATAAAAGACGAGGGAGAGGACAAAAAAAGTCAAATGAAGATAACAGAATAAAAGATAGATGGTTAAATGAATATATAAAAGCAACAGACTAAAACACTAAAAGAAGGAGTATGAATGGATAAAAGATTAAGAACGGAAGGAGTAGAATAATAAAAGCATCTAACGGGGAATCTCATAAAAGTGAGTTTTGTTCACAGCAATTTAACATCTCTTTGATATTTTAATGAAAGTACACGTGGTTAGTTGGTATGAAAAGGGTAATTAAATAATATTCATACATTTGTTCCTTTGTGCACAAACTTCATGCCATCCCTGCATACTGTAAGTCTGACTGGGCTATCCTAGTCTAACACCATGTCCTAACAGCATGCGATGCGAGCAAGCGTCGTCGACAAAACCAGCCTAATTCTATTGTTTCCTATTGCCGTGGTATAACGGCCCATGAGCGTTTTTACCCCAACGCCCCGTTTCTATTTCTATAGAGGTGGATTGATAATGTCCACATCTGTGATTGAAATGTTGTGCTCTGACTTGTGTCAACACCGGAAAATAAACTTTTTTTTTTCGGCTCATGGCGAGCCGTTTATTGACGAGCCTCTGTGTTGTGATTTGAGTCAGCTGTTCGTTAATACAAAGCACTACACATCCGTTTGTCAGCCTTCAGTACAAAGCACTAGATGTTATTCTCTTTGCAAGGGAGGATACTGAACTTTACAGAGCATAGAATTCAATATTTAACGAATGCAGTGTGGACAGCGAGCGTGCCATCATGTGTGCTCTTTGGACACGGTGCCTACCAAGCATTCAATTGTGTTCATGCTGCTAAAATGTTAGCAATGTTATAACATAAATGTAAAGGTAAACTCCCACACACTAAGTTTCTAAAATGTATTGGCAACATTTCAGTACTAGACCTTCATCAGGCAAACCTTTGTCTGATAAATATTTGTTTGCATGTTAGACAGTGTGAGGAGTGTTTGATGGCTCTTCTTCTCACCTGTCTTATAAAATGGATGTGCAAAGGTTTTTGTCTATATTACAACAGTAGTGCACACTCACAGCTCATAAGTGCCCAAGAATGTAAGCAGACAGTCTGAGGGGAAATAAAATGTAGAGTGTCTGGAAACTGAAAGAGTTGTGTCACAAACTTAATTTATATTTTTGGTGATTTTTTGGTGAGTTTTTTGACTTTTTACAGGAAATGGAATTGACTGCATATTATACTTCATGATTATATCTGACATACCACATTCAGATAGGAGTAACATTGTCAAATTGCCTGTTTGTATTGAGGTATTTTCTGGCTCGCCTCTTTTCTCTAAACATTCTTCTAAACTTTCAAACATATTCTTAAACACAGTTTTTCGAACTATCTTAGCTCCATACATTGAAATGTGATCCTGTTCTTTCTAACACATGCTGTATGTTGATACCTTCTGCAGGTGATGCAAAATAACCACATAGCATCCGTGACCCTCTATGGAGCCCCGCGGACCGCCAGTAAAGCCAGACCTGAGTCAAGTAGTAGTTCCCACTGAACGAGTGACCATGACCATATCCCATTTGGCCTCTCCTGAATTTAGTACCTCTACTGACTGAACCTCTAACCCAGAGCCAGATTCTTAACCAAGCAGACCTGAACCAGAACAACACAAATATTCTTGCTCAGCTCATATGCTACTCATTTAACAGAACACAAAATCAGACCTGGAATTGATCAACTATTGTCTGGGGTTCCTGAGACGCAGTCCTTTCAGTCCGCTCAATAAACCCACCCTGGACAAGGATCTGGTGTCATGGTTTCTGTGCTGAAGTGCTGATGCTTTGACATGAAAACAATGTAAACTCTAGTAGAGATCAACTGTTTCCCCGTCTCCATGCTGCTTCTGCATGTACCGAGGGACCACAGAAGAAGACGTCTTCAGACTGCAGTTAGGAAGTCATGGTTTACCCAGTGAGACGTGACAGCAGTCTGTACATGACAGTAACCTCCATGGCATCATGGTGGATGAATGATCAGCATTTTAACATCATCTGCAACAAAACTCAGTGTTTAACATCAAACAGAGAGTTGTGGAGTTGTATCACCGCCAATAAAAAAAACTGCTGCAGCCAAAGTCTTGAAACCCCACTCTGGCTTGGCCCACTGAATACACATCTAACCAATCACACTGCCAGCACAACCAGGCAGTACGGCCTGTCTTCCTGCCACAACTTAAGAACCATCTTCAAGACCCCGGACACAGCCGCAACCAGCCCAACCCAGAGCCATCAAGAAGCGAAGAGAAGAACCAAACACACTCTTACAGTTTGGAGCGACAAGTGGCCCCTCAACACAACCCGAGACATCCGGTGACCAGATATGAAGCCAAACGATCGAAAACATCCATCATCATCAGCACTGTTAAAGATCTCCTCCCTCTTTCCTCTTTACTGTTCTACAACTGTCTTCAGTGGTGCCCACACACACACACACACACACACACACACACACACACACACACACACACACACACACACACACACACACACACACACACACACACACACACACACACACTAGCACGCACACAGCTGTAAGAACTTTATTAACCCACAGACATTTGATGCTGCGGACATTTGTGTCTGTGTCCTCGTGAGCATCTGCATTTGATTGGTCGCTGGTTTTAAAAAGGGACATTTGAGCAGACTTTAATTCAAGCACACATACACACATACAAACACACACAAAGCATTTCAGTCCCTTCACGTCTATACTCACATGTATTTCTAATACATGAGAGCCGGTTTATCTTTTGCTCAGACATGCAGGCATGACACAAGAATTTGCATGAACTTGGCTGACATTTTGGGAAAAGGTGAGAATAATTACAAGCACAAACTGGCAACCTGATTGTTGTTATTTGATGTTGTGAGGGGCATTGTCCTGGCACACAGTTTGTTTTTATTTCTCTCTGCCCTGCTTCACACACACACACACACACACACACACAACCATGACCATTTTTTTTGTATTCATTTTAAAAACAACCATCTTTCCATTTGCACTAAAACACACCTTTTTACTTGATTGGTTTTTATGTTTGATCCTCAGAGATGGTTTTGTGGAGACCTTTGGAGAGATAGCGGTGTGTGTGTTTGTGTGAATGTGTGTGAGTTTGCAAGATGCACTTTTGCGGATGTCCTCTGTTCATCTCCACTTTCTTCATCTCCACATCTGACTGATACATTGCAATTCATCCCTTGGCGGTGTCTGCGTTTATTTCTTTGTTGAATTGCCAAAAGCTGTAGCCAAAGACGTTTCAGGATAATTCATTTGATTTGATCCGCTGACATTATCACTGTAATCTTCTGTCTAAAACCGGACCCTTTGGAGAGAGTGGCTCCCTTTCCTCTGTACCTTTTGTTTCCCGCCGGCGAGTCAGAGAAAGTCCATGTGAAGCCTTTAAATCCAGCTCCTGGTTTCTGAGACTTCTGACAGTAATGGCACAAGATGACAATAGCTGCCTGATATGAGAGGCTTGAAAAACAATGTGCTTGTTGTTCATCTGCCAGATGACATACCTACTACCTTCACCCCTCCTCTGGCTGTCTCTGGTTCAGTGGTTATTTAATTTAAAGAATCCACATGATTGTTCTATGGAATTCTTACATTTGGATAACAGGACAGACCATCAAGCATTCCATCGTCCTAACTTTTGTTTTGACTCTTCCTCCCTATCTTTGCTTTGAAGACTTTTCTTTAATCATAAGCATTTGAATAAACTGTGTATTAACTATAATACACATATTCTCTTTTATTGTCCTGGGATGCAAATGCCATTTTGTATTTTTCTGTGTTGCTAAATGTTGATTGTTTTTTTTTTTTTATCATCACATGTGAAGGCATCAGGGTTAAAGTCAGCGTCTGTATACGTGATACACGCTTGGTTGGCTGCTTCTAAATATAGGATTTTTTTTTTCTAAATTGTTGATTTTTTTTTCTTTAAGTTGATCAGTTTAAACTTTGCTTCATGTTGGTCTTTAATTGTGTTCTTCTCTAGGTTTTTCTACATCAATTAACCACCTCGATGGAGTCGATCGATCAATTGTCTGATTTTAATCTTCCCTGATTCAAAATGCCTCCACAATCATCTCTAACCAGCAGCATCCACAAGCAGCACACAGTTTATTCCAGGTACCTGAAATAACATGGAAGCTTTTTCACCACATTTTCTAACAGATATCATTTATCTCTTAAAGTTCCTGTGAGGAAGTTTCAGTTTGTCCAAAGGGGGGCGCTATAACTGACACAAAGGGATACGTCTTAACTTTACTGATCTTGTTTGGGACCTGCGTAAGAAGCATTTTCTGACAGAAAGAAATAACATTAAAATGTGTGCGATTATTGTCAGTATTTGCAGAGTATAATGTAAAAGAGAGGTCCTAAAATGTTGTTCATGGTCTTGTCTGACACCTTCCCTGTACGTTGCAGCAAAACTATAGAAATGATCAATGTTGCTGAGAGTCTTGTGGGTCATATAGAGGGCTGACTAGTTATTTAAGTCTGTTTCAGAACCAGATACAAACTCCTTACAGGGGCTTTAATTTCTGATTCACTAAAAACCTGATGACAGCAGAACTTTTTAGTTTTATCAAAATACTTTTTTTTTTTTGGCATAATTTGACCTTTCTGTTCGGACAGTTAGGGATCATTTTTGAGGTCATTTAATGCCCAAACGGCCACATGAAAGAGCATTAGAAGAAAAGAGTTTCATCAGATGGCATCCAGCCCGTACGGCCCTGATGCTTGGAGTTAAGATGTTGATGTACATGCTGTAAATAGTTGTGTGCTCTTATTCCAGTGTCCTCTTTATTAACGTGATCTGACTCAGGCGATGGCTGAGTATCTTAATAATCCTCCATGATACTGATCATACCCCCAACTCAGGAGGAGGCTTCAGCTCACACACGACTCGTAATCAATCACTGGAAGCTTTTTTTTTTGACTCTGGACCACTCAGTATTGAGACATATTATCCTGTAACGCTAAAGGCTGCAAGTACACACAAGTGTTGGGTGTGCGAGTAATAAGTCCTGCTTCAGCTCTGCTTGACCTGCTCTTTTTTTAAAGCTCAGTAAAGCCACTAAATACAAAGCTCCATAGAAGCAGACAGAGGAAGCGATATCTGTCTTGAGATTTTCTCTGAAAAAGCTGTTTTAGTGATGTCTTTGTAGAGTGGACAGAATCTGACTGAGGCCAGCACTGGCATGTTGCTGGATGTTATACCGCTTGTTTACACTAAAAGAAGCAACAAGTAAGGTGAAGCGGTTTCTGGAAGCAGGAGAGAGTAGATGAAATATTAAATATGAATTGAAACACATAAACTCATCTTTTCATCAGGCTTCCAGCGTTAAGATTTTCAAGATGGCTGTCCAGCATGTCTAATGAACTTTAAACTCAAAGGTCCCCTATCCTCTGGTCTATCTGCATCTCGCGTTAAATGGGGAAACGGATGTAATATAACATGAAAGCTATATTCAAACATTTCCCTAAAACTTGCTGTTCTGCAAAGTTGGGGAAAAGAAAAAAAAACTGTTGAACATTGTGCCTCATCTCCCACCGAGCCTGTCTTTGACTTCTGTCTCTATCTCCTCTGTAAAAAGGAATCTCCTTGTAAATACAATTTGAGATTGCATTTGAACTGCATCATTGTACAGTACATACAGCGTGTGTGTGCGTCACTGAGCATTAGCAACAAGCTAACATGTATTTGGCCGTCTCAGCCATTTTAGTTTTTCTGTTACCTGTAGAGAATGGCAAACGGCTGGTTGGGTCGGGTTTCCCAAAACGAGGATGAGTTTTTCACCAATATTATTTTTTTACAAGGTGCATGTGTTGATAACTATTAGAAAAAACAAGATACGTGTGGAAGTTTTAACCACCCTTAAAAGCTTATCATAGTTAGTTTGGAAAGCATGTTTGTAGCATTGCAAAACATGGCATAAAAAACCTTTAAAGAAAGACTAAGATGCATGCTGCAGAATTTCATTATAAACTGAAGGGAAAATATTTCCCTGAAGTCCCAAAAAGTAAAGAAAAACTTTTGTGTGCACAATTATTATTTTTTACTTTTTGGGCCTTCGGGACTCTGTTATTTCTTGTCTCCGTCCAAACTGAATTTAAATACTAAAAAAGTGCTTAAAGCTACCTTGAGCTGTTTTGCCTTTAAAAAGAATTGGTGAATTATGGAAACAAATCATGATCTAAAAAAAGATTGTACCCATCACCCCAATTTTGGTAAACCCAACCCCAGTGTCATAGATGGTCAGTGTTGTGAGGATGCTTTGTTACCGAGAGACAGAGGGAGGAGTGTTAGGGTGCTGGGGAGTTAATCTCACCCAAACTCAGGTGGACATATCACATATCTTGTTTTTCTAAAATGTTAAAGTGAGAAAAACAAGTGAAATCAGGAGGTCTGCGTGGCTTTGAGCTTCCACTTTTTTTTGTTGCATTTTCTTTGTATTATTTTATTGAATGCAGGAATGAATGATTGTCCTAAAAAGATTGTTGTAATTTATAATGGACAGCTTTAGTCCAGTGTATTGATAATCTCATATTAAGGCTTTGTACTGTCTCTTATTGGTACCATATGTTCTGTTGCCCGTCTTGCTTCTCCCCAGAATATTTTTTTGTGGACATTTTAAACCCATTTCTGGAAATGGGTGAGTTATACATTCAGTTAAACATTAATTAAAACTTGTGAAATTCATTGGAATGTGGTGTTTTATATTTTGAATACTGTAACTTTGCGTATGATGACATAAGTAGATTTATTCAGCATGTCCACAGAAAAACCGGCAATAACAAAACCATGTAGGGCAAAGAGAAGGACGAGGATGACTGAAAGCTTTGCTACTTTTAACTGTGTTTAATGAGGGGTGACGAGATGAGCTGCTGCTGTGCCATCTCTAACCACTCCAATGCAACATTTGGACTTTCATGAAATCCAATGCTCACTGTTCATTGACAGTCCATCTTTTGTGTGTGCAACCAGGATATGAAAAAAAACAATAAAAAATGTGGATGTGATAAAGATTGGGAGGTTTTTTTATTTCTTACTGTACTCACATACAGGGGTTATCCTGCTGGTTAATGAGAGCGCCTCCCGTGGTCCTTTGTAGCGGGCGGCCCAGGTTCAAATCCGACCATCTCTAAATAAAGGCATAAAAAAGCCACACACAAACAAAAACAGATACAAACTTGCAATTTTGACTTTTGACTTTGGGCTAAACCTCAACATCTGTTTTGTACTTGAGCCTGGCAGAATTGTACTTTCATTAGTCACAAAGACACAGAGACAGTTGTATTCTTAGAAAGTAGGAAATCTGCTTCTAATGTATTTTACCCTTAATGATTCTGACTTTAGTTCCAATTAATCTGGGCTCATATTCACAAACATCCTGAGAATACTCTCAGAAAAATCCTAACTTAGTCTAAAGAATCCTAGCGAGGAAGGGACAGAAAAGGTTATCTTAGGGAACCTTAGTGAATTTGATGTGCACACAAATTAATCTCTCTAATTAATCTATCTAATTTATCTACCCTTTCTAACTTCACCAGCTCAATGTTTAATGACAGAAAAAGAAGATTTCTGTTTAAAGTCAGAAACCGAAATAGACCTAATAGTTGGTTTTAACAAAAGTCTGGTTTCTTACAGGGGAAACAGCAGATCACAGTTTAGGATTTTGGGGGAGGCACCTGAGCTGGCCAATCAGATTTCAAGAGGGGCTATGTCACCCCTGGCCACCCATCTGGACATGCCCGTTTGCATCAATACTCCATTGTTACGACGACACAGCTTCCCTTAATGGGTGGGGCCGTTGCTCTTCCCCCACAAGGTGGGAGTTAACGCGATAAAAAAACATGCATGAAACAAGTTTCAAACTCTGAGTGAAACATTAACAAGCTAATGGAAGTGCCGTCCACTCATGAACACAGAGCTCAGAACAACAAATCCAGAGGGAGTTTGACTGAACTCTCTTCCTATAGGAAGTTATTACTCAACTGTTCATTTTTATATATATTTGACTTTGCTATATTATTAATATTCAGGATTTCCCTTTGTGTAGCTTTTATTAATCAACCCTGTACCCTGGAGCTGAAACGCTCATCTACACACATTCACATACTTGTTACATTTATGGTATAGACTCTTGTGTGCAGACCCTTAACTCAATGTGCAACATCTTCCTTTAGTTAGTGAAACAACTCAGACATCATGTTGTTTCCTGGACTGCTAATGTGCCAATAAATACCTTTGGATGACCTCGGAGCCAAAGCTGAGACAATGTGATGTGTTTCGCTCCTCCACAGCAGGACTGATGTTTTCTTTGCACAGATTGATTAAGTTTGATCAAACCATCCACGTGGGTTATACTTTGAGACCTTGTTAGTGAAGCACGCTGTGTGTCTGTTTGCAGACACAGTCGTTTACATCTGTTTAGAACTGGGACACTATTTTAGTGTTGAAAAGAGAGTTGAATATAAATGTTTTTCACTGTAGCAAACAACCTTCCATTTTTGTTTCATTGAACGAAAGAGACAACAGGACTTTCAGACAACACGTGATAATTCAAAACAAGTCAAATCATGTAATGAAAGCTGAAGTGTTCACATGAAATCACACATGCCTGACACCTCGTATACCAGGCTCTTCCACAAACATCCAGCAGGTGTGTGTGTGCGTGTGTGCGTGTGTGCGCGTGTGCACGGTCCAGACTGGTTCCCACTGTGCGGCTGGTTTCCATTTAGACTTCTTTCAGTGTTCCTCCAGGGAACAGACAATGCGACAGTCCATTTGTGCCTTTAATCCAGCGAGGGACAAGTGATTCATGATGAGGACAGAACGTCCCTGCAGTCTTTCCACTCATTCAGTACAAAAAGGCTTTTACCGGTCCTTGCTGTCCGTACGGTCCACTGAACAACATTATGGTCTCACACACACACAGATACCTTCTGAGGAAGAGTTTATTAATTTGAATAAACCCCTTGAGATGTACCATCTGGTTTTCAAGGGGGGTCCCAATAGAAAACAAATGAAGAACATGACAACAATTTAAGAAAAAAAAGAAAAGAACAGAGAAAATAAAATATTATCAATACACAAACAGACGACGAAAAACAACAGAGTGAGAAAAAACAAATTAGTGGATGAAAAGAGTTACAACCACATGATGACATTCATGCATGAATGGAGTTAAACCAGTTAACCACATTTCAGTATGTCCCTTTTTACTGAGTCTCTGTGTAAACAATTAGAGCACAATACATTCTGAAGGTTCACATTCAAGATCCCAGTGAGAGGTAAATCATCACACAATAATCTTTGCAAATCAAAGACCTGCTGCGTGCTTGTTCACACACACCATCTGAAAAGTTCTCGTTAGATTTCCTCCCTGAAAATCTGTCACGCATGTGGCCTCTGCCAATTCATTTCCTCAAAGATGATCCGCTCAGATAAAGTCTCATGTGACTCGCCTGTGCGCCTGAACACATCACAAGCCTTTCAAGTAAGCCGTGGATCCTGCTTCATAATGGTTTTATACTCACTAGAGCTCGTGCAGGTCCCTGCAGAGAGTCTCTAATGCGTGACAAACACCTGCTTCTCGCCGTAATCCGTCTCTTGTACCTCTGCTTCTCCTCCCTTTCCTTTCCACTTGAAAGGCCAGGATGTCGGGCTGGTCCTGTTGTGGCAGCTCAGGTTGGGATCGTGCAGGAGGTTCCACATGAGCCAGATCTGAGGAACGCTGAGGCTGTGAACGACCATGAGTTCCCTGTAAAAACAGGGGTCAAACGTCTGGAGGTGGGGCGCCGCAGATGGTCTGGGGATTCCAAAGGTCCTGAAGCCTTGGTGGCGTGATGGAATGACGCCGATCAGCTGGAGGCACATCCCCAGAAAGACATCGTCTATGGGGAACAGCTCCACCTATTAGTGAAAAAAAAAGAAAATCATCAATCAAAGAATCTTAAGCACACATTGTGAAGTATTAAAAGTGTCCCAGCTTACCTTTTGACAGGAAGAGCTCAGTTTTAGAGCCGTGCGTCCTGACATGACAAACCCTCCTCCTCCAGCGTAGCTTGGGTACAAACCTCCTCCATAGACAAACTCCGGTACAAAGTACTTTGAACTGCGCCGGCGGATTGGCTTAGCATTGACGATGATATCCCCGACAAAGAGATCTTCTTCAGGCTTTTGACCTTGCAGCATCTCCAGTATATTCTCAATGTTAACATACACGTCGGCATCACCTTTGAAGATGAACCTGAGTGAGAAAAGACACAAATATTTGGTTTCAGATGAGGAATAAAAAGACTCAATATGAAAAAAAACCTCCTGATTTAGTTTTGAACAGCACTGACTTGACTTGAGGGCAGCTGCTGTTGATCCATTTCAGAAAATGTGTCTCCTTCAGCGTCAGGTTAAAGAAGGTGTCGTCAAAATCCCACAGCAGGATATCCCTGAAGGTTTGACTCTCGTAGGTCAAGAGCCGGTCCCACAGAGGCAGAGCGGTCCGGTTCTTGGGAACCCCCAGCAGGAAAACAGTACGGATGGACACACCGTTTTGGAAAAGTCCCTCTCTACCCCAGGTGCGACGGACCACCTAAGAATTATGAAGTGTAGAGAGGAGATTTTTTTTTTAATCAAAACACTGATTAGGTGAATATATATTACACCTGGATCATTTAATTTATTGGCCACTAGAGGGCAGTAAGTACAATTTTCATTGTCCTATTAGCTCTAGTTTGGAAAGGAGTTTAACCCCCTTGCATCATTATGGACATTTTTGTCCATTTGGGCAAATGTTTCCTCTTCATCTGGCCATCATTTTGTCTGTGTTAGTGCATATGGCACCATTTTTTGTAAGAAAGTCTCTCTCTTGACACATTTTGGAAAGCACATTTTAATTTTTTCAATAGATCAATAGAACATTGTGAAAAATTTTCACGACCCTCTTAAGTCACTAAGGACAAAAATGTCCACTTCCAAAAAACTGATATAAAAATAAAACAGATTGATATTTTTGTTTGATTACATGATTCTGGCATTTAAAGGGTTAAATTCCTGATAATTATTCAATATTTTCTGAAGCAGGGCTGGAGTTGTTTAAGAGATTTCTGCAGAAAAAAGTAGAAAACAATATCAATCTGTTCTTTTTTTATATCAGTACTGGACATTTTGGCCCTCCAATGTCTAAACAGGGAACTACATTTTAAATCTGATGCTACACAAAAACTAACAATGCATCAAAGTCAATATTTTGGATAATCTTTGACATATCCAAGACTGATTTAAAAAAAAATCCCCCAGCCACCAAATATTTGTTTTATGGAAAATAACTATTTTTTGTGTTTTCTTCTTAAATAACAACAGTGACATCAAGTAATCAAACTGGCATTTAAAGGGTTAAATTGGCAGTTTTTTTGGCATGGACATTTTTGTCCTTAGTGACTTAAGAGGGTAGTAAATTAAACTGATGCCTGAGGGTTAAGGTGGGTTTATAAAAACTTTTTCCACTGGACACAGCTGCTGGTCACAGCCAGTGTTACGCTGTCATCCAAAGAAAATGTAGCTTTAAGACAGTTAATGGCTTAGGCTTGTAATTCTCTGGTAGCATGTGAATGAAAGTGACAAATTCCATGTGTCAGTTTGATTCATATCCTTTGTAAAAATGAAAATAAAAAATTTAATATATGTGTTGATTAATAAAGAATTTGACATCATTTTGTTGCACAGACAACTTGACCTAGTTTACCTGACGTTTCTCAAAATCTGCAGCGACAGACTTCACTGCGATCAGCATGTAGGGAGCAGTGGACTTATCACTTGCTCCTTGTCCTCCTTCTTCTTCCTGCTTGGCTCCTCTGATGACACATTTCTCTGGCTGGTCGATGAGCAGATTGAAGTCTCTGTTGTCCTTTTCTCTCAGATAGCTCGCAAAGTCAAATGGTGGCAGTGTGGGCAGGGGCTTTCGAGTGGCCTTAGTCGGAGTGACATTTTTCCGTCGAGACTTGGATTTCCCCTTGGATTTGACCTGAGGTTTAGACTTTGGCTGCGGTGGTTTGGACTTTGATTGGGGCTTACAGGCAGGAAGCCCTGGCTCTGACGGCCTGGACGGGAACTGCTGATTAGGAGAAATTAAATGAGGCAAAAGACAGTTGACATTTCTAAAAACATGATATTGATAAAGCTTCCAGGACACTGAAATAGAACTATAATGTCTGTTTATACTTATTAATCTCTTCATGGTTCATTATAAAATGTATTGGACCATCTGTGAATCAGCCAACAGATCATCTGCTAACATAAATAAGACTTAGTGTGTACATACAGTGATGCACTCTGCATAGGCAGTATACTCATTCATACAACACATACTGTTCAGATCCTTCATACTGCTTGTTATTTACACTAAATGCTGTCTCTCAATGAGCCAAAACAGCATCCACTACTTACAGAAGATTTGAGCTTTATCCTACCAACATTAAGAATGGATGCAAGAACATCACACTAGAGAATAACAGCCAATACTTCAGAGCTGAGAACTGTGTGTGCTAACCTACAATGATCTTTCTGAGGTAAGATTTTATCTATAGTCCTTTTGAAATATAAATGTTTTCCCAATAATGCCAAACCATTACTTTAATAAAGCTACAGGGGTAAGAGTAAGGTCTTTAACCTGCTCTTTTGTAAAGTGTCTTGAGATAACATGTTTTATGAATTGGAGCTATACAAATGAAGATTACATTTGCATTTGATAAAACAGGATTATGATAGATTATACATCATACACATTATTATTTCATAAGGTCAGGTTGAAGATAAACTGTTATTAACCTGCTCATTTCAAGTTAAGTGCTTATTATTTTTTTCACTCAACTTAAGGGTTTACCACACTTATTATCCAATTCTATCTGCACATATCTAAGGGAAGATATCTGTCTCTAGCTTCCAAATTCTCTACTAGTGGTTTATGTAACAAGCTATATCTGTCCTCTGGTGCAAGGTGTGTACTGTACAGCTAGTGTTCAAAGCTTGGCTCACTGCTCCCTGCGGAGACTGATAAGACTCAGACAAAGCATCAGCAATGGTGATGTTTTGTACACAATTGCTTTATATTTGTCATTATAAGTGACACATTTCATTATACCTTATACTTAAAACAAAGATGGTTTGATTCTATGCAAACATGCAGACACATTTATATTGTTAATCAGATGAGGTCATACCTCTGGAGACTCCTGGCTGATTTTGGCCCCGCTGGCACCCAGCAGGTTCCTGCTTGAGCTGGTAGAGCCATGGATCTCCAGCTTCCACTCAGGTCTGTCCCACCCAGAGGAGAGTATGACCTGAAAACATGGGGAAGGTTTGATAGAATATGGGGAAGGAATGATTTAGTCTTACTTCAATATTTCACAAGAGTCTGGATCTTCCACTCTCTATTTAGGTTTGATTGGTTTCATCCTTACCTGGCGGGTGTAGAGCAGCAGACAGAACAGCACAAGCAGCAGCATGGTGCACAACACATCTCCCTTCACATGAAGGAGCCTCCGTACTGTCACCATCTTCTTCAGCATCTTCTAGAAAATTAACCGAGTTAGTGACTGAACAGGAAAACATCGGTTTAGAGGACGCTGCAGGAGTGCTCTTCAGAAAAGAGTCCGGACTTGAAAATAGAAGTTGGAAACATTTTGGGTTTGCAGGTTTCTCTGCAGAAATGGATGGAGAGATTTCATTCTTCCTGTCTGACGCATTGCACATAATCCCTTAAAAAAAGTTGATCAGGCATTCTACAGGGAAAAGAGTTGCTTAGAGAGTAACGCACCTTAGAGTGATTTGGTCATGTCACTGGATGTACGTCCACAATGTCTGACTCCATCCTCTTCACCTCTCTCCAAGCTTCCAAGCAATGCTTAAGGTCGTCCTGAAAATAATAATCAACAATAAACAGGGATCACATTTTAAAATTCAACAGGGACAAAATAAGTAAAGAAAGTGATATGAAGCAAAATTACACAAAACATTTCCTTTGTGCAAACTGAGAGTACGAGTACGATCTGATTGTGAAACCCTTTCTTTGACATGTCCGCTGAAATCAAAAGATCTTTCTGGGTGGGATAATACAAGTCAGCAAATTCTGTTCCTTTGGCAAAAAAAAATCTGCATGAGGCAGAAAATACCAATAATCTTAGAAAATGATCTGTTCTTCCCTCCCTGTGATTACAGGATTTGTAAGTTGCATGGTTTTCGGTCAGAATTTGGTCATTAAAAGCGGCTACATTTGGTGAGTTTGAAGCAAAGTTAAGACCTGATATCCTCTGAAGGCGTGACCTTTCCATGAAAAACAATAACATGAATTTAAAGTGATCCAGAATGATTAAACTTGTCTTCAACACGAAATTAAGCATCGATTTATAACCCGGTTTGAGGAGGGGGAGTGTCTGTCTTATGTAAGTGAACATGATGGGTACCAAAACTTTCAAAGAACACTGTGTCCTAACAATCATGACAATGTAAGAAAACTGAAAAAAAAAATAAAACACTGACAGAGAACATCAGATACTGTTTGAATATATGAATGTACATCACATCTATTTGTCTCCTTTAGAACGCGCAACTTTCAGACAAGCATGTCAAGCCAGCTGTCGACAACTTCATACAGTCTGCACAGAAAGTTTAATGTCTTTTTTCTCGCTGAATACATAGAAACGCGTTTTTCACAGAATCAAGAAGACTCCTTAATTTAATTTTTATTGCACATATATGTTCCTTCAATCGTGCAAGTCATTCAAACTTACCAGATGGGACGGAGGGGGGGGGGGTTCAGACTGGAAACTTCTGTCCTGTGGATGTTTTAAAACCGCAACACAGGCTTCAGTCAGAAGTTACTGCAGAGAAGATATCCAATGAGAGGAGAGGGCATGTTGTGTTCATGGGAGTGTGACTGCGAGGAATGACTTAAATGATGATTTACACAACAAAAAGTGTTTTCTATTGGTCTCCGTTACTTGGCTCTGGACCATTGACTGCTGCGTTCATGGTTAGTTGCCTTCAAGTGTTGTAAGAAAAGTCGAAATCTGCACGATGAACGAGAACTGCAAGTGTAGAACATTTTACTTTAATCTTAATTAAACCTAATGTAGGATTTTTCTACATGTAGACCCAGCTATAGGATACAAAAATAATAATAAAACAAATCACTTATCTTGAGTTTCAAGATTAAAATCTCTGTTAAAAAGGTGGGGAGGCTTATAAATCCCAAAACTTGAATTAACAATATCATTTGGGCTTAATATCCAAACAAGTACGTTACCTAATTAAGGCTTCGAATAAGCGTTTGGTATTTTTTCCCATTAGTCATCATAAAGTCACCAGGCTACATCAGAGAATTACATAGCTTGCATTATGAAATTGTAGTCACCAAGAGCACCTGAACGCATCATGTTCATCCTGAAACCCGACCACGTGACTTAAACTGGAGCTACTTCAAGCCAGATGCCAACACAGCAACTAAAGGATGGAAGAAAAAGAAGAAAGAGGGGCATAAAGAAGATGGCAGGGTGTAGAGTTCAGGTTAGAACCGTCAGTCATTTGTTTTTATTGTCCGTCTCTTCAAAGAAGTAGGAGATCAAGACTCACTTTACTTTTTAAAGTTTGTGGAAAATGTTTCCTAGACAGAAAATATTAAACTGAGAGTATACTTTTATATTCAAACCTCAGTCCAAAGTCTCTCTATATTGAAACATCTCTTTCTAAATTAATCAAACCAGCTGCACGTGAGAGCACACACACAGCAGGAACAGCGGTGATGGGGGTTTACGACCTCAGTGGTTCTTTACTGAACCATATGTAGCTGCACCTAAGGAACGAACATGTGTGTTTCCAGTCAGAGCCACACAGAAAAAAATCTATTTCTTAAACCTGCCAGTTATAGAACTGCTGAGCTGACAGAATATATCAGTCAAACGACGTCCAAAATGAATATGCATTATTGTGTATGTAGTGACCATGGGGGCTGCTGTGGAACAGTGGTAGAGTCAGGGGTTCGATCCCCAGCTCCTGCAGCTACATGTCAGATGTGTCCTTGGGCAAGACACTTAACCCTGAGTTGCTTCGTCTGCAGCGTGCATGAAGGTTGTAGTTAATTCTAGAAAAATGCAATACAAGCTCAAGTCCATTTACTATGTTTTGATGAACAATTTCCCTGTATTATTTAAGTTGTTGCTAGTTCTGCTTTATTTCCTTGTTAATTGTTTTGCACCAATACACCAAGTCAAATTCCTTATATGTGTAAATTCTGATTCTGATTCTGATGTTCAAAAACTGGGAGTCACATTTTTGCATTACATTTTTCCCTGTTATTACTTTTACCACTATCACCACTGATGTGTCGGAGTAGATTTTCTTTTAAAATGTCTCCGTGAAGTTAGGTCACATATCTATTAAAAAAAAAAGCACAATGACAAATCAGAACAAGCTAATATAAAACATTCAGCAAGTTTTTGGTTCTACCCTATCCTTACTGCTGCTATTTTATTATAAATCTGTACCGGTATATTTTATTTAGACATGTCTATTGCTGCTACTGTGTACAGTATATTTTTTGTATATAACTTTTTTATTTTATTCTTTGTATCTGTGTGCTGTTCTATCCTTTGGTGTTACCTGCTGCTGGAATCTGAATTTCCTGAGGGAACCTTCCCAAGGGATTAATAAAGTTCCAATCTATCTATCTCTATCTATCTATCCTGAAACTTTAAAATAATAACATTACACATGCAACATTCATTCAAATGTCCTTTGACTGTCATGTGCTGCGTTCTTCAAAAAAAATGCAAAATGTGATTCTTCAAACACCAGATACTTGTCACATACTTCTCTAACACATTACAACATCTCAAACCTCTGATTGCTGAGGCTCAGGTGCTCAGTGGCAGCCGACATGAGGCAGCTGTGAGCGGTGAGTTAGATCACCCTGATAAACACGAGGATTAAATATTAGTGTACATGACTCTTTGGCTTTGGGGAGACTTGGCTGAGAGTGTGCTAAACATCTGTTCTGCAGATTGACAGACACATTCACAGCATCAGACAAAAGATGTCCAGTATGAAAAAAAGAGAAACTGAACAATTGGCTGCTTCACTTCTTGTAGACACACCTATTCTTGCCTCTAAATATACGTAAATCCAACCAGAGGAATACTCAGAATGAACAGCTGTCTCAACTTCCCTGTGATACTGCAACAGAGTCAACCTGCTTTTAAAACACAAGTTAATTTATTAAACATTCCTGCCACAAACACAAATATACATTTACAGTATTCATATACAGTCTACAAAAAGGTAAACAAGTGAAACACACAGCATTGGTCCTCTGTGGCATGACTTAATCAAAATAGTTCTCTTTGCTTTGGCTACAAACACCACACAAAACACACAGCAGCCGGGAGCAGAGACCTGAGTCTGAGTGAGCTGTGATACATCGACGACAATGACATGAGACAGAGACACAGAGACACAGAGACACACACACACACACACACACACACACACACCTCATGTGGTTGTTGAAAAAATACAGGACAGTCTGGATCAGTTCTGTGAAGTTTAAACAACTCTGACAATTATTGTGCAACATCATCTGGAACATTTCTAGAACATTCAAAGGACATCAGGCATAACTCTTACCTATTGATGCTAACAGACAGTATATTTGAGGTACTGAAGAAAGTTTGTTTTTTTTGCATTATTTTTAGACAGCAGCAATATGCTGAACCTTACAGATTAATGTTAATGTTTTTGTCTCATTGATTTTGATTATAAGTGATACTCCATACTTTACTCTGGTCCAGCTGTGTCACTCGTGACATGACTCCTACACTTACTCTTACATTCATGAAGCAAATATGTCACTGATTAAACATTTCCAAACAACTGAAGATCAACACCTGGAAACCATCTGCAATTCTAGTCTATCACTGTCTGATGATGATATATGCCTCCGGGAATGGATGCCAGTTTGTTGGTAATTGCACTGTAACCAGCAGTTTGGGTTAAAAAAAAGACTTCCAGCAAAGACTGAAGTAGCACCCTTTCTGTTTCTCCTGGGTTCAACAGTAGAAACACAAAAGGCTTCCCTCTGACTTTCTTCAGTGATGGTAGCCCAAAAAAGAAACACAGTTTCTTGGCTTACTGTCAATTACCAGATCTTATATCTGCAGAAATATCATCATCATGACTCAGATTTCTTAAATAGAAAAAAGCATTGTTAAAGGTCACATATTATCCTCCTTTTTAAACAAGTCTCAGAGCTCCCCCAAAACTAAATCCACTCTGATCCTGTATTTGATCGTGTCTATAAATCCCTCTATTTCAGTCCTGCTCAGAACAGGCTGTTTCTGTGTCTGTACCTTTAAATATGTAAATGAGCTGTGTCTGACCACGCCCCCTCTCTGGAAGGGCTTTGGCTGTCTTGCATCATGTCCTATTGTTTACTGTGAGAAGGCAGACTCAGAGGGCAGAACACCTGGGGGAGGGGCTACTGCCCTTTGTGATGTCATGAAGGGAAAATCTCCAAACGGCCTGTTTGAGCACACATTTTCTGAAAAGTGGAGCAGGCAGAAGACGGAGAGAATGGACTTTTCTCATTCTTGAGTGGTTTGTAGACAGACTAGGGACACATGTTAGTATTAGAGGAACATGGTGAAGTGCATTTTGCATAATACGTGGCCTTTAAGACTATCCTCAAGGGGAGAAGAAACAACTTTTAGAATGCTTGTTTGTTGAAAGGATGTCAGATCGATCATTTCTGATGCAGTTCAGGTAGTCAGGGAATCTAAACATAGATGGTTTTCATGACAGCGTCAAGATGAAATGTTTGATCTAGAACAGATTGTGAGCTTCACTTTCATGCAGATGTCTCTTTATAGAGACAAAAACCTGGCTGCTGTTTATGCCTAAATCATGACATAAGATGGTTAAATGTTACTACTGCTCCACATTCTTAGGGACTTCTGCTCCATGTGTGGTTTTGGTCTTCATTGTGCTGAAAAGGCTGTGCAGGCGCCACGCTTGTGAAGAGTTTGTCCAACATTACAGAGCGGATTGGTCATGTTTATGTCCATCCCTTTTCTCTTTGTGTCCATTCCTGTATTCCCAAAACGTCTTCCATCCTCAGGAGGATGCTGTGCCCGCTCTCATGATCCTGAAGAGTGAGTTGACATTATTGCTCTTGATGGCGTCTCGACAGGCGGAGATCACTTGGTTCTTGGGCTTACCCACTGAAGAGAAGGATGAAGAGCAACAGAAGGAAATAAGGGGACAAGGTGGCTTGCAAGTTGTTACATCACACAGGTTGATGAAAAATGCTTTAATATTCTGTTCATAGATCACTCGCTCACATTGGCAAAGCTTTGACTGTCAAAACATGGGAAAAGCTTACAGGGTTACAGGAGTCAAAATGGACTTCATCTATGGAATACCCATGCACAATAATAGCAACAAAAGCATGACTCCAAGCCAAAACTTACCTCTGAGTCGTCCTGCCCGCTGAATGGCCTGGTTTACAGACTTGAGGCAGGCCAGTAATGCATTATGGTTGTTAGAACGGATTTTGTACTCGTTGATCAGATCCCTGTTTAGATCGTACAGCTCTCTGTAACGCTTCTTCATAGTTGTCCTACAGAGGGAAGAAGAGAAATCAGACCAGAGAGAAAGACTCACAATGAGTTTACTTCTGTAGTAGAAAATACCTTATACAGGTTTACTCATTGTGGAATATACAGTCAGCACTATAAGCGTTATAAGAGCAGTTATTGTAACACTACTGTTGGAGGAGGATTCAGTAGTTTGAGCCAGATGTATCCAATAAACTGAGTGTAAGTGTTCTTTGCTCCAGAAGTCAATACAGTGGACCTTTTTTATATGAGACTTGGCAAAGCAGAAGAAAAACATGTGGAACTGATACCATTAATGATGGCTTTATCATTTTCACGCCTTCAATAAAAGCATGCAGCATACCATAACTCATGAGGAAGCAGGCCCACAGAGCAGAGAGCCAACAAAACTGTTATTAATTACACTGTGAAGGGAAATATGTCTGCTGGAAATGATGTTTAATAGGTCCCTTTGTTACCTCTCTGTTTGTTTGTAAGAGGTCAGATCAAAACCCTGTTAGTGAGTAAAGCTGTTCTGTCCTATACATTTTGAGGTTACTCACATGTCACTCAAAAGGCGAGCGTCTTCTGCTTGCACGAGCATGTTCCTGATGTAGTTGGAGTGGTCGGCCATGGCTGCGGTTAACTTCTGATGAACCGAGTGAAACTCATCCACCTGGCATGCAGAGGATAAAGACTCTATAGTAAACCATATCAACTGCAACATGTTGTAATGTCTGTGCTTATGTAGAATCATGTAATGACTGGAATGATTATTCTCTAAAATCATGAAGTTCACATTAAAAGTCTCATCTCCTTACAAACAATGAATTCAGGTGAATGCAGGCGTAACGACTGACTGATGGTATTTCATGTTGGAGTTTCAAAGATATTAAAATGCAGTAGAGGGTTTTCTTCTGTAAATGTCCAAACCTCAGTGAGTATAGTGCGTAGCTCCTCAAAGTATCCTGGGAAGTCTGCTTCTGCTGATAAGTCCTCTATGCCCAGGAAGGACGCCAGGGACTGGACCAGGTCTCCTGCCAGGTCAATGTCGTCTGTTCTCAGAGTGATCTTATGGGGGAACATTCCAGGAGACATTGCATCTTAACCATTAAAGTTTTGCATACTCTTATAAGGTGAAGTAAACTTTATCATCACAGTCATATTAAACTGTACAGGTACAAAAAAAGTTAATGAAAACCTTTATTCCTAATTCTTTGATTAAAGTTGTAATTTTATTGAAACATTTTACATGACACAAATCAATGATAATGATGCATGATGGAGAGAAGAGTGCTGCCTGAATGTTGATTAACAGACATCAGTCATTGGAATTCATAAAATGAAAATAACCTCATGTTTACATGTTTAAATGTTTTGAGCCATAAGGCTTTAGTAAATTGATTCTCTTGCTAATGTAAAGTTAAAGCTGGCAGACAGATTGTAAGGATAAGATAAGATAATACTTTATTGATCCCCAGAGGGGAAATTTGGGCATTGCAGCAGCAAGACAGAGAAAAAGAAGTAATACAAAATTCACAGGATAGATAAGATAAATACAGATAGAAACAACAATAGGATTTATATACAAAAGAATATAAATAGTTGAGCAATTCAGGACAATTACGAATTATGTGTAGTGGATGGCACGTTTAAGTGACCAGTGATGATATAAAGTGACTTGTGTGATCAAAAAGTTTAGGGTTATGTAAACAGCAGTAAAAGAGCAGTATGATATGACGATCTAACCCACACGTCTTCATCAAGGTTTTATACAAACAGAATGCTGATGTGTTTGTGCATTGTACCTGTCCGTTGCTGATGCTGATGGACAGAAGTCCACCTCCTCTTAGTGAATTAAAACTGACGTTGGGACTGTCTACTCCCTCAGGAAGCAAGAAGTTCTGGTTCAGCCACATCACCACCTATAGACACAAATGCACATGCATGCAAATGATCAAAACGCATTTCTGTAGAGATGAGGTCAGTTTTTATGTAACAGAGATGAAGTATTTCCATCTGTTATAAATATGTGACCGGACTGATCAGAACAACACTTCCTGCTGTCTTGGTCTTCCTGAGAGACTCTCTGACATCCTACCCGCTGTGGTCGGTCGTTGATGCTGAAGGTGACCCTTCCAGTGGGCGGAGCATCCGAGGAGTCAACTGAGATGTCATACATGGAGAATCGAGGCAGCTGCCGTGTGATTTCAAACACATGGAATTGGGTGCTGGAGATGACAAACAATGAGCTGCAGATAAAAATTAAGTGTTTGGGGAGGGGGGGGGGGTAATAATATAATCATCATATGACAACACACTTGTGTTCTCATACCTCGTTTTCCCTCCAACAAAGGCTTTGACGTGCAGATCTACTGGGATATCTTTGGGGGGGACGATGGGGACTTGGATACAGCCTGACAGATTTTGGGCGCTGGGGTGGACCACATGACTCTCCCCCTCAAAGATCCCCTCTGCAAAGATGAGCACTGCACGGATGATGGTTTCTGGAGAGGAAACACAGATGGACAGACTTGTTAATATGAACTCGGTCTGTAACGTGTGAAATTCTAAGCTAGTGTGCTAAAACACTGTACCATTTGGTGTTGAAATGCTGAGCTCTACATGAGCCTTCTGGGCTTCTGTAGCAGGTTTCACTGACAGCGCCGTCTGGAGCTGAGTGTTGGCTGGTATGACACTGTTAGTCTCGGACACACCCTGAAACAATGGTACAGTTTCTGAGGTTGTTAGCATATAGAATAAATGCTGACCAATTTAAATTCAGATCCCTGTTCTGTTGGATTGTCTTTCATGGTATTTGTAGTTTTTTAATTTGATTGTTACTGCTGAAGGATTTTTACTATCTCCTTAACAAAAGCAGACATGGTAAAATATGAAATAAAAAAATGTCATAAGTGAAAAAAGGATTTGCCAAAGAAATAAATTAGAGCTACAATTCAGGATAATTCAGAAGCCCTTCAGTACTGCATAAAAAAGAATAGCCAAAAGTAACACCAGTAACTCTGTCCAGCCATAGAGCTTAGTGCAATAAAGAAAAGGTGTAAAAGTAAGGATAATAATATGACAATCAGATACTAAAATGATTTAGAATTAGAAGATATTTTCTACATTGTACGGACAATTTACCCAATGTTTCAAATGCTTAAAATACCCTCCGACTTTGGCTCTGCCAACAGGATGAATGCATTCTGTGTAGTTTTGAGAAATCTTGGTTTCAAGGTTGAACTAATAGAAATGGACAAGGGGGGTCATTGTGGATTTTATTTTTTCATAGATCTTGTGAAGACATCCATCCCTCTATCTCCCTCTTGTATTTATCACATTTATATATACATATCTAAATGCAATGCTTCAGTCTTTCAAGCTGTATTCTGTAAAAGTTGGACATGATGGGGTAATAAAAAAGCCTTAATGAAAATAATATACCTTGGCGTTCTCATCATAGTTGCGTAGCTCCAGTAAGAGGTTTTGTCTGCGTTGGCTGAGCTCTCTAATGAGGTCCTGTTCAGAACTGCTGTCCATAAGATTCCCCTTTAGGTCCTTACTGGCTGGCAGGTAACCCCGGACTACAAGATAAACACATTGACAAGATGAATCCAACCTGAAAGACTCAGTGATAAACAAATGTGTAAAGCAGGTTTGCAAGCTTTGCCTGAATTGAGCTTCAAATGACAGCTGAGGCCGACTGAACTTTTTTCATTATTTAAAGTTTTTTGACATTATCAAAAAAATGAAGAAGGTGAAATAAGATATGCTGCTAGATGAAACCTCAGAGAATCACATATGACTCTCAGGTTAAATTAAATAATTTCATTTCCATTGTTCTTTGCTGTTATTACTAGTCTACGTTGTCAAGTGTGGATGTATTTTCTCTGTAATTTGGCAAATATACCTTTAACAAGGTTTCGCCATTCATGAACACACATACAAAAACACACACAACACACTGACTGACCAAGACTAAACAATACATAACACATTATGTATATATATATGTATACAGATGTACTTTGCTTTATATATTCACAGTAATGAATATAATAAATGTTAAAATATACATTCAGGAACTTGTTACTACACACACAGAGAAAACATAGAGTCAGGTACACCCAAACCTCCTACCCTCTCCGTCTATAGAAGTGCAGATAAGTTGTTTCTCTCCATCCAGTCTGTAGTCCCCCTCCACCACTCCGGCTACAGACGAGGAGAAGTTGTCTTTGAAAATAACCTCGCCTGTGCGGTCACTGCGTGCATCAATCTAAACAAAAAGGGAATAAGAGGAAAGACTGGCTTGAGATACTGAAGTAATGAATGAGCTGTTGTGCCTTCTAAACTGTTTGCTTACCTTTCCATTGGACCAGCCAGTAATGAGCTCCACTACGCCATCTGCGTTCAGGTCAAAGGCGTGGATGCTCATTGCATGATTCTTAGACTGAGTGGATAAGAGGACACATTTAAAGTTATGGATCTTTGTTAAAGGGCATTACTGTGGAGTCAAACGTTACACGCCCTGCTCATGTGCACTCAAACAGCTATGGAAATGTAAAATACCAGCTGACTATGATAAAAGATACAGAGGGGAGGGACAGAAAGACTTCTAGCAAACACAACATTCAGAGGGAAATGCTAATGGTGAAAATATTACAAATGGGCAAATTGTCTTTACACATACAATGTCTCAATTCTATTCCTTCAGTAGCATTATTATAAGGTAAACCCTCCTTTTCCGTATCAGCATTTTCATGTACGATTGCAATACCTTAATCCTCCAGTAACGAGCGGTGCGGTCATAGACTCCCACGGTTCCATTAGCCAGAGCATAGCCAAACCTGCTGCCATGCATGTGGCACAGTGATGTAACTGTCTGTGTGGAGAAAAAGAAGTGTTTATATTAATGAGTCTGTCGATCTGTGTTTCCTCTCCAGAAACCATCATCCGTGCACTGCTCATCTTTGCAGAGGGGATCTTTGAGGGGGAGTCATGTTGTCCACCCCAGCGCCCAAAATCTGTCAGGCTGTATCCAGTCCCCATTGTCCATTTACCTCATTTTCTGTCATCTCAGACACAAGCTCATCCTCCTTGAATACTCGGATGTCAAAGTCCTCCGATCCTACCAGGAGCTGTAGACACAAAACATCAACACACTTCTATGTTAGTAAAAAATGATTTTTCATCTCACTCAGACAAAATTAAAGCAGTGGCAGTGTGTCCACACAGCATGTTTATCTGACTGCCTGACCATCAAAACTTACCTCATTTTTCCCATCCCCAGTGAAGTCGCAGAGCACCAGAGATCTGACATTATCGCCAGTCACCTAAAAGATCCGTTTGTTTAGCTACTTATACAAATAATTTATCCTAATATATTAAAGTTTTTTGCAAAGACAACAAAAACATTCACTGATCTACTCATTTATTCTTAATAGGCATGATCAAATCCATTGGAATAATTATTTTGACTTGTAAAAGTGACCACAAATGGATGGACATTCAAAAATTCAAAAATTCAAAAATGAAATAATGAAAACACTCATTCTCAATAATAATATCACATTGTTAATGTGTAACTTGAATGTCCTCATAATGCCAACTAAATAAAGGGCTTAAGCTTAATGGACTCTCACTCTTATTATTTTTGTTTTATATTGCTTATTAATGAAACATATCTCTTGAATGTAAAAGAGATTTGATCTTTTCTAATATTAAAACCTTGTCTTGGTGCTTACTGTCCAGAAATGGTCATTGCCAAGGTAGTCAAAGCCTTGTAAGGCACAGTTTCCTCCAATGATGGCAAGAGGATTCGGGATGTCCCCCAGTTTCCCCAGCACAATAGCATTGGCCCCATCAGAAACCTACAACCAGAAAGGAAACAGAGACACAATCCCTTAAAGTGTGATTATAAAAAGTGTAAGCTACATGTTGAAATCATATTGCTTAATAAAAAATGCAAAAAAAGCTATTAATGTTTCCTTCAAACTAGCTGAGTCCCTGAAGAACAAAAGTGTCCATAAATGGGCAAATTAAAAAGTAACACATTTATTCAGTGATTACATTTATAATACAATGTGAATCTTTTTTTGTGACTCATTTGTGTCCGCCTCCCCTCTCAGCTCCACTCACCTCTCTGTAGAATATATCAGCGTTGTCATGGACATTATAAGCCAGCAGGTTGGTCTGGGATCCCACCAACAGTGTGTCTCCAGTGGTGTTTGGTCCCAGTGTCCCTGCTGTTAGACAAGTGACTGCCTGGTTAATGTTGAGCAGAGAGATGTCTGAATCCTGAGCGCTCTGACTCAGTCGATGGGCCACTGGTCTCTGACCACGAGCATGAGGGTTGTGGATAAAAACCTTCAAACGGAATAAGAACAAGGGGAACAAGACTTGAGTGAAAACTGAAGTCTGAGGTAAAGCAAATATTAGTAAGAAAGTCACCCTAAAATGAAAAGACTGTGTGTTTTAATGGTGAAGAGGTGAAGACATTACAGAAAAAACTGAGTGGGTGAGTTCAGACAGAAAGTATAAGTAAACAAAGGAAGAAAGGACTGCCATGTACTCGTAACCATGCTATGCAGTCTTCTTTTTATTTATTATCCCTTCCCAAAAGTAATATAGGAGTAATTAAAGTGCTGACGTTCCTCACCTTTCCTGCCTGTGTGGCTGCAGTTAGGCATGGGTGGACTCCATCAAACTTCCCCACAGTCACCATGCGAGGGTTAATCTTGTGGTTGAGCTTCAGCGTGAATATGGGGACCAACATAGCGCCTGCTGTAAGACCTTAATCTGACAAAAAGTCAAGAAAAACAGAACAGAGAAAAGGCGATAGAAAGAAGGAGGCACTTTATTATTTCTGATCGTTTCTGATACTAAATCATAAAGTCTGAACTGCAGGTTGTCTTGCATGTAACCAAATGATAATGTTTTATTTTGCAACACTAATGTAATTACAGGCTTTGCACACACAGTCAGTGGAGAGTCCTGTTGCCTGGCAACAGCGGGAAGCTAAAGCTTTCCGTTTGGCTAATCTCTCTGTCGTTAGCGTTACAATAATGCCAACTATCCAACAAAAATACTTCACACTTCGCTACTAAATGTATTATCTGCACTGTGACATTATCAAGTACGGTATTTATCCTTCAGATTAATGGCAAATTCCTTATATTTGCCTGAAATTCCTTGCAAGTCTAGCGTAACTAGCTCACCTTAACGGGGATGTTTCTGATATCACCGGAAACCACTGGGATCCTACTGCAATAAAACACACAAGATCACTTTTTAAAAGAAACTGTAACAAAAACTCTTACCTGGTCCCGTATTCACAGTAAATATTAGATTTCGGTAAAAATGAGCTAGCCAGTTTTTAAACCAGCTAGAAATCACAGTTACGTCGAAGAGACGTGAGACGTCACAGTAGATTACCTTTTAAGAACCGTTTCCGGCTGCTGTTTTCAAAATAAAAGCATCTATATTAGCGTTTTGAACATTTTATGAGGAAAGAGTAAGATTGCAATTTAACTGAATACATTTACTTACAGCATTGAAAAGCAATGTAGATGTACCTTTGCTCTTTACTTATATTCCTAGGAGAAACATTTTATAGCCGACTTTTTACTCATCTGCATTTATTATTCAACAAAAGCTAGTTATTGGATGCATTTCATTGAATTTTAAACTATTGCATATATTATTATATTTGTAAAGGCTATAGGCGCAGAGTCCGCTCACACTCACCTGGAGCTCCGAGCTGGTAAGTTAAGTTAACTGACTCTATCAGGCTAAAAAAGTATTCATTACATTTTCTGTAATTTTTTCCCCCAAGTTTGAAATGTGACAGATTAAATGAATGATCCATGTTATAGTATTGTATCCAACTTAAATAGTAGAGTTGTAATAAGCTATAATAAGAAAGTAATATTATGCTAGTGCAATTTTAACAAACGAAAAAAACATACAAGCTTTCTGGAGAAATGTACTTACAGAGCTTACAGGGAATATCAGTAGCTTACATTTCTCATCACATTTTGTGGACACATCATTGTGAATGTCTCACATCACCTTTGGTGGAGTTATTTTTTTCTGGCAATATAAAGGTCTAAGGAATAAGTCAAGCAAGGCTTCAAATGTGAGTTTTAAGAGTTGATTAAAAAGACCTTTGATATGATAGCATATTCATTATGAATCAAAAGTTTCTCTATTGGCTGAAGTGTAAGATTATGTATTAAATAATGTTAAGAATAGTCACTGTGGTCTAATCGGCTAAAGTTACATGGCACTGATGTTAGGTATGCAAAGGCTGCAGTATTGCACTTAAGGCCAACGATCTTTGGGTTCTGGTGTTGTCCAGGATGTGTGGGATGTGGTTGCTCTTTAGTGAAGATGGCTAGTGTAGGTCTCTCTCAGGTTAGGGATACTGAAGCTGATGATCCACTATGCTGTCTTCACCATCGGCTGCAGGTCTCTCAGCTGTGATGCTGCTGATGAAGTACCAGATTATGCAGCATTATGTCAGAATTATCTCTATTTAAAATGGAAGAAGTTTATTTACAGCTTTTCAGGAAGTGTGTTGTACCTTAGGGTTCTGAGAAAAAAAGATCTGACCTGAAATAAGCTGTTCAGGATCCAGGTCCAGTCCTGATTTACAACTTCAAACTTTCAATCCTGCGGCTCTTCCTCATTGATGTTTGGTACAGAGGGAACAATAATTAAACTTATGAGGACACAGCTCTTTGGCTGTTATAAAGGATAAGGCTGGTTACCTAGCTCAACCCAAAAGGGTTAGGAAATATTTCATCCACACCTGGTACATTACCTCTGCACACTGCCTGTCGACACCTCGAACTTGAAGCTGTTTGTTGACATGGATGATGTTTTTCTTCTTTCTAGATCCTTGCTTGTGTTCATCTTACTCTCAGATGTACTTTGCTTTCAACAAAAGCATCTGCTAAGTGAAAATGCATCAAGTTTTTTCCTATTGGTCTTTTAGGCAAACTAATATTGATCATGATTAGAGGAGATGCTCGCCTTGATAGGGTACAGCTTGAGGGCGCGGTCAAACTGGCCATCTGTACCTTCAGGGCGTCCCTTAAAACAGTGGTTCCTAAAGTGGAGGTCAGGACCCCCAGGGTGGTTGCAAGACACTGAGATTTCATGAGATGCCCACCAAAAACACACATAAAAATGCAAAATGATTGAAAATTGCATAGTTTACGCATCATAACAATTTGTTCTGAAATGAAAGTAATATGTAACATAAAATCTTAAAATGGAAGTGTGCACATGACTGAAAAAAATGTAGGCATGTGTGTTGCTCTTGACAAACAAAAAATGCACACAGACATCAACAGTGTGGCAGTTAATTATGTTTTGTATATCCACTCAGTGCCACAGTCTAAACATGGAGGTTACTTGTTCTTCTTCTAGCATTTCTTACATTGCTCAAATATTATTTTGGCTTCTAGGGTGTTGTGTTCTTTGAGTTTTGCTGATGGCAGTGTTTGGACAGGCCTATTAGTGTGTGTGTGTGTGCCTGGCTGTGCATGTTAAAAGCTTTTACCCTCTCCAGGGACCGCGGGGGGTCCCCGGTCTATTTTGGGGGTCAAAAGGTTTGGGAACCCCTGCCTTGAAACACTTTATGATCACAGATGTGGCAGCAATCAGCCCACTGTCCTTTGGGCTTGTCACTGCAGAGGTTTTAGGAACAGGAATAATGTTGGTGGTTCTCAGACTGGTAGGGACTGAAGCTTGTTGTAGTGACATGTTAAATGTGAGTGTGAACACTATATACAGCAAACTGTCAAGCACCTTAAGAGCTCTGCCCAGAACACATCAAGGCACAGCTGCCTTGATGCAGGAAATATTTAACAAATCTACTTTATCTGATTAGAGGGTGAGAGGCTGGTCGCCCTCTGATGAGGGGCTGATTATAGCTGCTCATTTGTTGTAGGCATCCTCAAAGCAACAGAGTAGTTTTCAGTTGGTCTGGAGTCAGAAAGGGAGATGTTAATTGAGGTGGGGGTGCTATGAGTTTGTTTACAGTCAGTGATGTTTGGGATACCCTGCCATGTAGTGATTGAGTTGTTGTTGTTGTTGTTGAAGTTGTCCTCAATGCTTTGCTTGAAAGGACTGACACTTAGAGCTTGTACACAAAGATAAAACAAAAAACAAAAATCATTTAAATTGATAAAAATCCTGATTAATATCTAATCCCCTGTACATTCATCTATTCACTATGATTAACTTGACCTGGACCCCGATGGCTGAAAGTTAAGCGACTATTTGTCCTTACATCGCTCTCACCAGAAGATAGCTGCATTATGTTCTTTTGACCAATGAAAGTTCCAATTTTAAATGTTTTGTGAAACACTTTAACGCTCCCTTTCAAAAGGTAGGGCTCGTCCGGGATTTGAACCCGGGACCTCTCGCACCCTAAGCGAGAATCATACCCCTAGACCAACGAGCCATACAATGACAGGAAAAAGGGAGGTTTACAAACTCCTTCCTTGGTCCTCCTGGAGATGCAGTTTGACTCCCCACTGGTGATGTGGCAGCAACAAGACTGATACTTAGTGTAGCCAAAGAGCGCCCTCTGCTGTTTGACATACCACTCAACACTTGTGTACCTGTTTCCAGTGCTAAGGTGCAGCCTGGTGAGGTAGGAAACACATCTGTTTGTCAAGGATCTTCCATTCTGGGATCTTAGGGCCTACTACTCTGTGATCATTTAACACTTGTGATTTACTGTTTTTCAGCAACAAGCTATTCAAACATACATACATGCCTGAAACGCACAGAGGCCATACTCTGGTGGCAGTGGGTTTGAATCTGACCTGGGCCCTTTGCTGCATGTTACCACCAACCCCCCCTTACTTTTTTAAAAGCTTATTAAAGAACACTATCAGTGTTGTCTCATTTAATACTGCTACACTGTGTTTCTTGTTTTCCTATGTATCATGTCATTCCAAGCATGCGCAGACAACTTCATGCTGCTTCTCTAATCAGTATGTATCTAGGGCATTTCCCTTTTCTATACGGGAGGTTCCCATACTGATGTGGGAAGCGAGCAAGAAAGAAAGACAGCATCTGGAAGATATCTGGGATATGGCAGGAGAAGTGAACCACCAGCAGTTGCATAGTTAATCATAATAAGCCAAAGACAGGATGTCTGTTTCATAGAGGGGATGAGCAACTAGAACACAGATCTTATTGTCTGTTATTATCACCCGCTGTCCGTCTCTTTCTCCATTTGAGTGTTCACTCTCTCTTTCTCTGACTCTGCAGAAGTCTCTTTCAATAAATCAATGCCTTTATAAAGCTAATGAAGGTATGAAGTGGTCACTGAGGTCAATATCAGCTGTTAACAATCATACTTCAATTTAACATGTGATTTCATTACACAGGAGACATTATATGACGACACCAGGTGTAAACAGCATCATGTATCACGCTACCGTGGTGACCTTTAACACGTTAAAACGGAGGGCTCGTCCGGGATTTGAACCCGGGACCTCTCGCACCCAAAGCGAGAATCATACCCCTAGACCAACGAGCCAGCTGTGGTGAAAGACTGACATATACGTATTTGTACACAACTTCAGAATGGTGATGTGGCAGGCTGGAGGCCCCGAGCACCAGCTGACTAAACAGCTCTCTCTAGCTGTCATCGTGAGAATGACAGCGCACAGAGCTACAGTCTAGCGAACGGGATTGCTGGAGTGTAAGCTTTTGTAAGGCATTTCAAACAAAAGAAACATACACTAAATTGAATTGTAACGCAAATATATAAATTAGTAATGACTCAAATGTGAATATAATTTGCATATGCGTTTTTGTGGATGATACAGTCCATTGTTAATGTGAAAACAAAATCACTATCTGCCTACGAGTCTTCGTCCGGGTCCAAATTTACCCACGTTTCGTTCAGAGTCGGAATGTCCTCATGTCAGCTCAGGTTAGCTTTAGGCTAGTTAGCCATTCTCAGAGAGGGCTGGATTTACATTCACAAGATGGCAACAGAGGCGAAACGACACAAGGTTGCAAATAAATCATTCATTTGATGTTGTTGTTTTAAATCTATAATAGATAACGTCACTGCCTGAGCTATTAGTACGTAATGTTGTCTCGTATTATTAGCTTCGTGGTAAGTCTACAGTAAGCCTCATGTATGAATAAGTTCTGTAAAAGCTTAGTTTCCTGTGTTTAACACCCATTCTGCCAAAGTTACTGTTAGTCTACTTTCCGGACTATAAGTGAGCGATCATCACGGTCTCATGCGTCTGACACGTGTTTGTACTTGTTATATTTGTACTAATGTGGAATAGGTCGCTTTTACAGTGCCTGAGTCGTGTTTCTCTGTCTTGAATATAGCTGCCATGCCCCAGCAAATGTAAATGCACCACTCGATTGGTGATTGAGTATATCTGTGCTGACAGGTAGATGATGGTTTGGCGCTCAGTCCCCTGCACAACTTCCTGCAGTGGTGCCAGAGTGTCGGATTGGTACTCAGCAATAAGGTATGATGCTGCAGCCTGTATGTTGTTGAAGCTGGATCGTTGACTCTCTTTATAGTAACATTGTCTATCTGATCTCTCTGTAGGTGTGTGTGAGTAAAGAAGGAACCGTGGCAGAATATGGCATGCTGGCGAGGGACGACATCGAGGAGGGGGAGGTTTTGTTTACAATCCCCAGATCTGCTCTTCTTCATCAGGGGACGACAAAGGTCTCTGTCCTGCTAGAGAAAGGTGACAAAGAAGTTTTCCTGATCAATAAAGCTGCCTGCATCACATACCTGTACGTAACCTCTCTTGTTTCTCCTCTTCACAGAGAGGTCATCTCTGGATGGCTCATCTGGCTGGGTTCCTCTTTTACTGGCTCTGTTTTACGAGTATACATCCCCACAGTCCCACTGGAAACCCTACCTCTCTCTGTGGACCAACTTCAAGACACTGGACCATCCCATGTTCTGGTGAAAACCCTTTTTTTTAAATCAGTGTGTAAACCCCATCGCTTGTCTACTAGTGTGCTTCCAAGCACGCTCACTGTGGCTCAGTGGTAGAGGCTGTTGTCTCTCAACAAGGTCAGGGGTTTGACTCCCAGCTTCTGCAGGTGTCGATTAACCCCAATGCTCCAGCTGCTATGTTGGGCGTGTGTGAATGTGTATGAATGGATTAGTTAATACTTTATGCCTCTGCCATCAACGCGTGTACAAGAGGAGTGGATGGGTAGGCCAGCGGTGTAAATGTTGCTTCTAGTAGTCAGACGACTAAAAAAGGCGCTATACAAGGTCATGTCCGTTTACCATTTTAATTTGAAAACATTTTCAGAAGTCCTCCTTAGGTATGGATTTCAAACTTGTGTCACAGTAATCCATCTTTCATGTCTGTTAGGTCTAAAGAGGAGAGGGACAGGCTGTTAAGAGGGACAGGTATCCCCGAGGCTGTGGACACAGACCTGGCTAACATCCAGAAGGAATACACTGACGTCGTCCTGCCTTTCATCAAAAAGCATCCTGACCTTTGGGACCCGAACACACACACAATGGAGCTGTACACACTCCTGGTGGCTTTTGTCATGGCTTACAGGTAAAGTGAGCCAAACATGAAATATTTCTAAACATGTTTGTATAACTGAGACCAGACATTCATTAATGGTGCAGACAATTCAGACAACACTGTAAGGGGCCTGAATCTGACATTTCAAAAGATCTGGTTTGCTTTTAGAAGTTTTGTAACTGTCAACAAGCATTGACTGCCCTATCAAACAAAAGCTGATGTTATATGAGAATTTGCTGCTTTTTTCAGATGTACAAAGCACCTTCAGATTACACTGCTGCTATCACAAAACAAAAATTAATATTGGTTTATTGATAAATTTGGGTTTTTGTTTAATAAATAAAAAGCTTGGACCAAACAAAGTGTCAGTCGGATACAAGTAATTGTAAATATTCTAGTAATTGGCAAAAGAAAAGTCAGAATAAAAAGGTCCAAGTTCTCGAATAAGATTTACTTCTAATATTGTCTTGGGGGTAAAGTGTTAATTTTGGGGTTTGTATAAAATAAAAAGTGAAAAGTGGGGAACTGTTCATTTCAGTCAGTTTTTTGGTTTTTCTTGTTACATCCCAAATATTTTATGTTGGAAAGAAAAACTAATCATCTGAATCATCAACAAAACTAATGGAAAACCCCACTGTTCTTATCCTGAAGTCACCCCCGCTGATCCCTCTAGTCCTTTTCACCAATCCCTCCCTTCTTTGTAGTTTCCAAGAGCCACAAGAGGAAGATGATGAGGAGGAGGAGGAGGAGGATGAGGAGGAGGACGAGAAGGCTCCCAACCCACCTATGATGGTTCCCATGGCAGACATGCTCAACCACGTGTCCAATCACAATGCTAATCTAGAGTTTACACCGGTGATGATTACCTCATGGTTTAGATGTTTCCATTTTACACTTTGTTGATTAGTGTACAGCTGCTCATCAGTGAAGTATTTGTGACATGAAGAGTATATTTAACATTAGAAGACCTAAGCTGTGGATTAACTGCCCAGTTATCAGGTGCTTTCATATCTTATCATCATCAGGTTTTTTCTTAAAGTCTTCCTACCCTCGCCTTACGGTCTCTCCACTCTCCATCTTTCTCAGGACAGTCTAAAGATGGTCTGCGTGCGCCCCATTCATAAAGGAGAGGAGGTGTTTAACACCTACGGACAGATGGCCAACTGGCAGCTGCTTCATATGTACGGTTTCACAGAGTCGTATCATAGCAACAGCAACGACACGGCCGACATCCCCCATCACCAACTTCTACAAAGTGGTCACACAAGGTGAATGTTGATGCATCAAAAAACCAGAAGAGCAAAGGTCTCATTCTTAAATAAGTCTTTGTTTTCTTTTATTTTACTGAATTTAATGTTGCTTTTTATTCTAAGCTGCCGTTGGATTACCTTGTTCACAGTGAGCTTACTTTAGTTTTGTTGACCAAGATGGCAACCCAGTAAATATGTTTTTAATTGCAGAATGAGCCACCCTGCATTTTCCAATCAACCTCAATGACAACACTTAAAACACCTGCACCTTTTATTTTCTGTGTTTGATCTCACACTCTTAACCTTAAAGGCTTTATATGTGATTTTTCACACTTAAATGTAATATAAATCAAGTATATCCTCTGAAAATAACTCTGTGAGTCATGACTGTCTACAATGGGTGTAACACCCGAGTCCCACTGTCTGTGATGTTTTCAGAGTTTTCAGAGTCCTATCTTCACTTTGTTTACATCGCCGGGACGGCCGGCTGACTCCTCCCCTCGTGTATAAAAGTTGTTTAATTGAGGGACTAGAGAAAAGAAGAATAACATACTGTACTCACTGCTTAACTGTGTTTCTAGATCACGCTCATTTCAGGTAAATTTACATGCAGTGTGAAGATACAAGCATAATAAAGATCACTAGCATTAGCATGCTAACACAACAATGCAGCGTGAGTTGTTTTGGTTTCATGCTGGTGCTCAAAAAATGTTATGTCACATTTTGTCCTCACATCTTAATATCTGCTGTGTTTGTCTTTACGGTGAGTTCACTCTGTGCTACAGGTGTCATTATCTGACTGAAATCTGGAGTTTGAAGTCATGAATCAAAAAAGTCAACATTTTTGCATTTTTTCCCACCAGAGCATTTACTTCACACACGAAATAAAATTGAGGTCCGATTGAGTTTGCAAGCTAAAATATTCCAAACCCTGTTTTTGTGCCTCTGCCTACCCTTACATTCACAGCTGATCAGCAGTAACACATTTTGTTGCCTGGCAGCTGTTTCAGATTTGTGTTAAGCAGGTTTAAGTTGTACGCTGAAAGGTTTGTTGGTCAGTTTAAAATCAAAAGAGAAGCAAAACAAGATCCTCACACCAGAAGCTCCTCAGTCTAAAGAAGAGCATGTCGGCTCAAAACGTCACTCATTTATAAATCCTTCAGATGGGAGCTTCTTGGTGTGCCGATCTTGTTTTGTTACCTATTCGTGTTGTTTGGGTTCAGCACCCACTGAGGGATGTGTGTCTTTTTATTTTTTTTATTTTTCAGTTTAAAATGGAAGACATTATCTCAACAGATCCTGTTCTTTAAATGACTCTTAACAAAAATGACGTTCATCAGTAGAAGAGTCTAACTCTGCTCTGATTCTGGAGCTGTAAATAGAAAGAAAGTTTTCGCTTTCCCTGGTGTTTTCTCTTCACCCTCTAAGTATTGAAAGTGGCTCTTAACTCATCCGACTTTAATATATCATGTTGTCCTTGTTTTTTTTGTTTTTTTAAAGGCCTTTCCTAAAAGGAAGCGGTGGGCGCTGCACCACCCTCAAACCCATTCATTGTCTGTGCTAAGCTGAGCGCAGTTTGACGTCGTGATTGCCGTTAAGCAATGTTAAAATTGGGCTCAGCACTCTGAGATGACACCTCGACAAATCCAATGGGAGGGATGATAAGATCACAACAAACAGTGTCCTACTTTCCTGAGCTTTATGTTAACAGTATAAAGACCTACCAGGACATCCCTAAACATGTCTAAGAGTTTGGGCACACTAGGTGTGTTTAAAAAAGCAGCAGGACTCTTTTTAGCTTTCTTTTAACCATCCCTCTTCTCTCATCTTCCAGATATTCAGTCTGACATGGAGCGACAGCTTGTGGAGGAGAAGTGGGAGATGCTGTGTCAGATAATGCAAGAAAAAGCAACCTTTGTCTTTGGCAAACAGGGCTGCCTTACAGACACGGAGCTGCACACTGCACTCAAGGTAAGGGGGGACTCTGTACTCTGTACACTGCTTAAACCTGGAAACACAAAAGAGCATCGTCTTCTTCCTGTGTGTATCATTAGGTCCTGTGCATGTCAAAGGAGGAGTTCTCAGAGTTCAAAGACGATGAAGGATGGGAGGAGGATGAAGAGGACGACGAGAAGATTTCCCTCGCTTTCTGTAACGACGGCGTCCCTGGATTAAAGACGTCATGGAGACGGTTGATTCATGAGGCAGCCCGTCTCACAGTGAGGTCCTACAGTAAAGAGGGGGAGGCTGTGGACAGTGACCAGACGCTGATAGAGAACCAGGCAAGGCTGAGCAGCAGGCAGCAGAGAGCACTGCAGGTACGCTGGGGACAGAAGAGCATCCTGTACAGACTGATGGAACTCACCAAGTCATGAGTTGAATTCAGCTGGACCTCAGCAGTTGTTTTTATTGTCTCCGGTGGGGAAAATGTCCCAAAATTCAGCCAGTTTTTTTCTGTTTCAATAAAAAAAGTTTTCATTGATGTGCATAATAAAAACCATCAGTGTTTGTATAACGTGTTTTGCTTTCATCTGTGCACAAAACATCAAATAATAACATGCTGTAACAAGCTTTGTGCAGAAAGATGAATCTGCATTCTTCAATCCACAACAGCTGCACGTTAAATGGCAGTTCCATCATTATTGTAATGAGCATTCTCATTCACAAAAAAACTCCGACTTATCACAAAAGGAAAAATAAGTATTTTACCTATTAAACGGACTCCTGGGTATAATGGTCATGCTTTCACACCATGTTGATGCAGCCAGATGAAACCCTCAGATTAAATTTTGCCTATTAGGTTGAGTTTGTTGGAAACACAGGTATTGTGTAAAACATGACCAGTAGATGGACATAAGAGTAGTTACTATATGCACTCTTCAGTTTTTGTTTGTCCCCATTTATATTCTAATTGCAATATTAAAAATGTTTTTGCACAACTCGTACTGGTACTTTTCTTATGCAGGCTTACAATCTGCTCAATAAAGTCACCTTCATGTTGGCTTGTAGTGTATCTCAGCCCATGTGAGGGGACTTCAGTTTAAAAAGCATTTAGCTTGTGCTAAAGGTTTGAAGATGAATTGAACTTGTCCCTAGATGAAATCATCCCACTAACTGGGTACCTGTCCTTTGGAACAGACCTGCAAAGGAGTTACAATGAAACACCTATTAAGGTCATAAACGCAGCCATGGAAGAGACCTTACTCTCAAAGAGTCAGTTACACACTTTCAAAGTTTGATTTTTAACACTTATCTAGAATTAGATGTGCCAACCTATTGTAGATTTGTGAGTGAATATTTCCTGTGATATGATTTTCCTGTTCAGCATTAATAGCCATGTTGCAAGTAGCTTTTTGCAAAGCTTCAGCCGTTTGTACTCTGCTACCCACGAATCCCCAAGAACAATAAGACATCTACATTAAATCTCTGCATGAGAATGGAAAAGTAGGACCAAACAGGAGAATTGGGACGCAGCCATAGAGGGTGCATACTGACATTCATCTGCACCCACTCACTTCCTGTATAATATTGCAATGTGAACAACAATATAAAACATGATGTTTACAACATAATGAACATTTAGTTTCTTGGCTTTTTTGTCTTACAAACATTCATAAAGTAATTGAAATTGATCAGAAAATCTAATTTTGCAAAAATAATTGTAAAACAGGGTGTTTTTTTTTTTTGTGTACCTGTGCATGTGTCACATTGGATAACCTGAAAGCTTTACAGCTGTAGGTCTTATCAGCCAGCTACCAAATAATTTGACATTTTTCTTGTCCTGCAAACCTTAAACAACAAATACTTTTCACATTTTGTAATAATATCAGTGATTCAAAAGTAGGTACAGTGATTAATAACAATGAAAGACATGTTTAACCTTTGAAGAGAAACGTAGTGATGAATATTTAAATACTGACAGCTATAGCAGGAGTCAGGAACACAGACACCATAATTCAGCATGTAAATTATTGTTACACAGGGATACCTTCCTTTAAAAACCTTTTGTTTACTAGCATCTTTTTGTCTCGTGGTCATGAATGAACACAGATGCGTTGCAGTTTGAATGCTTTATTTCCTGTATGTACGCATACTGCAGTTAAGTAGCAAGAACTAAAGGCAAACTAGAAAGGACTACAAAATACAACACATGGACCAATACATTTACAAAACATTCAAAATGTTACAAAATGGGCTGTATTGGTCCTTCCATTGTTGTTCTTCAATTTGGATCTTTGTACAAATTGTCAAGATACGATGTAACCATCACTTTGAACAATTTACAAGTGCCAGGGAGAGACTTCCAGAGCCAACTTCAAAATCGACAAACTGTCAGCAATCTGTCTCCACCAACACACCAGGAGCAGACTTCCACCCCACCTGGGAGTCTGAACTCCATCTTCCTGTCCCACTCAGGGATAAAAAGGAATCAAATGAAAGTAGCAGGCAGCTTTTTTCTTCTTCAATCATCTACCATTCAGCCTCTGAAAGCAAAAAACAAAACTCAGAAGAAAACAGGATTTGTGTGGGGGGAAAGCAAACCAAGGACTTTGGTAGTGAGTGAAAATATGTCTGTACATGTCATAATACATTTTATTTGACATGTGCATCGCTCTCCCCTTATCTATGCTCCCGTTCTCCCTTTGTTCCAATATTTACAACAAAGCATCAAAAAAAGTATATTAAACAGTATGTCTCAATCCATTCTCTCCGTTTCAATTCAGCCCAAAAGGGAACAACAAAAATCTAACTCCTCAGATCCATGAGCAGTAGTCCTTTGATCCACATCTCGAATGACTGTGGGTGCCAGTTTATCCAGTGCCAACAGTACAGTGGGAGAGGTGTGTGTGTGCATGAGAGGTGGGGGGGAGTGGGTCAAGGCCGTGGCATCTCTCCCAAGGGCTACAAGCTGGCTGGTACACAGGCTAGCTGGCACCGGTGCCCTCCATCACCTGCTGGGCCTGCTTCTGTCCCATGCAGCACTGGGCCACTGACTGGAACAGCCTGAGGAGGGAGGTGACAGGTATCACATTACAGTCTGTTAAGGAAGTAAAGCTGACCTTAATACAAATTGTCACTAAAACAACAAAACATGACCTTCTTTTAGTAGTAGTAGTAGCAGAATTTTCACACAATAACAGAGCCTGTACTGTAAGTCACACAAGAAACTTACTTTTCAATCTCGGGGGCACAGTGCACAAAGTCATGGCTCCAGAACTTGAAGGCAGGATTCTTTATCAGCTCGATGAAGGTGATGAGGAGACCCCATGGGTGAGGCCTGTTCACTATCAGCCTCTCCAGCAGAACCCTGGAGGAAGAACAGGAAGCTTTTAACTGACAGTACCTTTAGTTAACTTCAAAACTTGGGGATGAGGGTTTGAAATGAACACCCTCAAAGCAGACTCCGTCTCACCTGGTGATCTGCTCCTGGATGGCCTCAGTGTTGGCCTCCGCAAACAGATACAGCATGGTGCAGCTGAAGTAGTGAGTGTGGCTGTTGGGGTAGCGCAGCTGATTGGCGATTGCGTTCAAGAACAGGTAACGCCCTGAAATGACACAACAGGAACATGATCCGAGTGCTACACATTTTAGAAATATTTGACCTCAGTACAAGGAACACTTAAAAATAAGCTATTTTCACTACTACTACAAACTACTTTCTGTTTGCTTACCCTCAGTGTCCAGGTCCACAGCTAGGTTCTGGAAGATGTCCATGTGTGCAGAGTGGGTGATGGTGCTCATGGAGGGGGTGCTGCCCTTATTATGAATGTGAGCAATTGCCTGTGTGCCAACATACAACACTAGAGCATTGATCAGCTGGATGTTGTAACGGTTTCCTGGCTCATTAGACACCTAAGAAACAATGAAAAGAAAAAAAAACCTCATTTACTTTCTGGACACTACAACTGCTACTAGTTTGTAAGAGGACACGGCTCCTACCTGCAAGTTGCTACGCAGCTCAGACAAGAAAGTGACAGGGGATCGAGTCTTCAGATACGAGTCCAGGTCTTTCTTGAACTGGGAGGGCATGACGCCTGTGAAGTTGGTGAGGATACGGGGTGCAATGTTGATCTCACTCAGCATGTCCACCTGCAGCCGGGGAGTTAAAAATAACACATTTATGAGATGTTGTATGTCTTCCAAAGAAAATTTGAATAATACTCTGCAGACTGTGTTGAATCAAAACAGTGAAATTTTAAACACACAGATTCTGCTGACATCTCTGTTGTTGAGATGTCATCTCACGGGTGCTTCAAACTGTGAGTGAGCTTGTGTGTCTTTGTTTTGTTTACCTTGAGATTGGGTGTGAAAGGGTCGGGGAGCCTCATGTTGCGTGGAAAGGCACTGAGGATGAGGTTGCGGAGCTGAATGCAGTTGGGTGGGATAACATCACAGAAGCCGTAATGATAGTCACACAGGAACTCTGGGAAGTCATGCAGCAGGACCAGGAGCACTCGCAGTGTGCCCTAAAAAGCCAAGAAGAATTATTATTTTGAATCCAAACGCTTGAAAAAATCCAAAAACATTAATAGAGGAAAGAAACAGCTGATACTATGCTAACAAAGCATAAGGTCTGATGCCACCCAAGTAGCACTATCAATGAACATCTACATAAAAAAGGATCAGACTGTGTTGGAATCTAATTAACTCACTCAGTTTGGTAATAGCAGAACAAAGACTACTTAGAATTCTATAGCCAAAGTGGATGAAGAGGCACACTAATTAAGAAAATTAAGTAAAATAAGACGGCACCTTGTAGAGGATTTGCATAGGTTTGTTGAGCTCTACATTCCTCAGAAATGGGGCCAGGTATTTGAAGAGATCAATCAGCAGCTGTGCATACATGGGCCAACCCTTCAAGACAACATCCATGAATTAGAGCACACTCCAAAGCCCCAAAATGTATAATAAAGAAAGCAACATTTACATAAAACAGAACTACACAAAATGGTACTTGGACTACATGCAAATTATAAAGTCTTGTTTTAATGTAAATTACCTTCTGCTGGGGTGTGTGTGCAAGCATCCTGGCGATGAAGATTCGATGGGAGATGAGTTCCAGCCAGGCGTACACAAAGCCAGGTGCTTTGGTGGGTCTCAGGATGTGGAAGGTATTGCTGCAGATATAAAAAAAAAAAACAGTGAGTCCAAACAACAGTGCAGCATTCCTTTAAATACAGAACCATTGAACAGGTATGTGATTGGCATCAGACACAAAAGCCGCATTAACATATGAATACATGGAGGTCTTACCAGAAAGCTGTGAGTGTCTGGAAGTTAATGGTCTCCAGGACATGTTCAGGAGCGTTGAGCTCCAGCAGCAGCATGATGAAAATGCGATGGTAGGGCAGCTGTTGGAATTCTGTCTGACGGACATCGTGGTCCTGGATCAACACCCCAACTACAATACCCAGCACCTACAAAAACAATTTGAGATCAATTATAATCTGATAAAGAAACAATCGTAGGTTAAGAGCAAATATTTACTGAGGAGATTAGCATTTCTACTCTCTGCAGCTGTTGAAACTTTACAAATAAATGGAAAGAACAAACAGGCTTTGCAGTGACCAATTCAACATTCTAATTGACTGCAAATTACTTTATTTTTAAAATAAATCCACTTTCAAAAGTCTGAAAGTCCTCAAAGCAAATCCCTAATTTATGTGGCATTCTTATTTCATTTTAAACCCAGTCACCCTTCATTTAGTTTTACAGATGATGAAATCTAAACTTTCTTTTAGACTGACATGCTACTGTACCTTGTTGAGGAGGTTAATTTTTGTCACTGTGTTTGTGGCCTCTCCTGAATGTTTGACCAGCAGGGCTATCAGCCTAACAAAGGCATCCAGGTTGTGGTAACACTTGGCTCTGATGATGGCTGCACTGGCTGCTGGGTTGTGCTGCTGCTCAGCTTGTGCCCGATAGCTGATCTCCACAC